TTAAGCTAAATTTAAGGAGATTTCTCCTCGTTCTAAGGGTTTCATTTGATACAGGAAAGCATCTGAAAGTGCCTCCATGGTTGATGGGGAGCTGTTCCCTCCTCAGCAGGAAACACAGTCCTGGTTCACCCAAATCCCTCCATCCTCTGCTCTTCTCAGAGGTTCCTCTCATTTTAATCTTCAAAAAAAAAACCAACACACCCTCTAAATCCAGAGTTTCCGAGGAAGTTCTCCTAATTAAGATTTCATTAACAGTTTGCACACACACAAACCCAGAGCACCCTCATTGCCAGAACTGAGACAACCTGGATCACGAGGAAATGGAAGGATAAAAACAAAGGAGGTTCAAATTTCCTTCCAAAAAAAAAAAAAAGTCCAGCTTCCCCCCCCTCCCCACACTCCTCCCTTTCCCTGGGTTCAGCTGCAGCAAGGTGAAAGGCTAAATGTGGACAGAAGGGGAATATGTAAGTGGTTTCTAAGCTTTCTGCTGGGAATACTTAACAGCATAAGCACGTTTCCCCTGGAGACCTTCCCCACCATTTGGTCCAATTTCTTCCTCCAAGAACTGAACCAAGCCATGATGTAATGCTCCAGGGAGAACATTCCTCTCGAAAAAGAGTATCTTCTGAGGGGAGAAGTTTGAAGAAAACATCTTAATATTGTTTAAACAGCTTTTGGCGCAGGCAAAACCACCGGTTGTGCTGCGCTCGGGGGGCCGAGAGGAGAAGAGAGGCTAAAAACGTGGAAAGGGAAAGTTTGGGGATTTAGGTTAAGGCTTCTCCTCGACTACCACCACCCCCAGTCCTCAGTGATCCTTGTGGAATGAGGGGGAAACAAAAAAAAACAAAGAAAAGCCGTTTTCAGAAGCAGGGATTTGCTTTGCTGATCAGAGAGGGGCTGTTCAAGGCTTGGGCTTGCAGAGAGAAAGCAGAGCTTTAGATCTGCCCAAAGCCTCTTCATTTTAACTCCCATCCAAAGGGAAACTTCCAGGGCACTTCCCACCACGGGGCTGGCTGGGACTGAGGCTTTTTGGGGGCTCTAGGAGGGGGCAACTCTGCCAAAAGTGTCCTGGCAGCAAAGCTTTGGTGTGTCCACACGTTCCCTGTGCTCCCACCCGCTCCCTGCAGCCTCTGCCTCCCCCAGCCTGGCATTTTCCCACCTGGAAGGGCTGGATTTTGGGGTGCTGGACAAGAGGGAGCTGCCCTGGGGAGACAGAAGCAAAATAAGCAAGAGCAGGGGGCAGAACATTCCAAATCCAAGATGATGGAGCAGAGGGATGCAGGGAATCCCAGCACGGTACAACCAAGCTGTGCCCCAAGCCCCAACCATCAAATGAACATTTAAGGATCATATTCCAGAGCTTGGATTATGTCATGCCCAGCACTGATACAAGCTCCATTTGCATTACCTATTCCTTATGTAAACTTTAAGCTTTCCTTGCAAAACACGCCCTAGCACTTAAGGGTTTTTTTTTTTAATATATATATTTTTCTTGAGAGTTAAATGACCTTTTTTTTTTTGTTTTTTTCATCATTAATATTTGTACCCACACAATTATTCCTTCCTCAACAGCACACACGAGGCCCCCTCAGCAGCTCCAATGCGAATTCCCTCCCAGCCTTAATAGATTTGCAGGAGTGGGGATGATTGTGAGGAACAAAAGCTTCGTTGGAGTTGCTTTTTTTTTTTTAATCCTTGGCTGCTGGAATTCCCAGAGGGGCTCTGGGCACGGGGGCTCCATTGGAAGTTGTTGTTCTTATTAATAACTAATATTATTACAAAGCTGCTATAAAACATGCTGCTCAACACGAAATATCTTGTCTGGAGAGCCCTTGGCCACGCTCAAACCTGCACCATAAAGAGGATATTTAAAGGCAGGAGGCTCCTGTCACAGCTTTTACTGCTCATTTCTTGGGCCTGGAGGTTTTTTCGATTTCTTGGTAGACCCTAAACTTTTAAAGCCTCGAATCACAACTATTTATCACCCATCAGGGAGCTCCATAAAACGTATTTTTCCTTCAGAATGACTGTTCTTATAAAAGAAAAAAAAAAAATTATAAAGGAAAAAAAAGACAATTAAGAACAATTTTTAAAAATCTCCCTTACAGCCCGACTTACAGGGATCCTTAAAACTTAAAAAGTGTGACCCCCAAAAAATTAATGCCACCTGCAAGCTGTAAATATATACATTATTCCATTTTTTTATTTATTTTTTTCCCTCCCCCCTCAAAGTATTTTCTTTGGCCCTTCCACTCAGTCGAAGGAGGCCTAAAAAAAAAATTGTCAAACCGAATTCTTGTTGAAGAGGGGGAGCTCTGAGCTCTCTGCCAGTTGGAGTGAAACACCCAGCCAGGTTTGGGGAATACTCTCTATTTATCTTGGCCCGAGGTGCAGGGTGGGTGGGGGGAGGGGGCAGAACATTTTCCAGCCCCCCTTTCCGAAGGCCAGTCAAAAAAAAAAAAAAAGAGGGGTTTGAAATATTGCACAATAAAAGCCATTCATTATATCTGTCTCCTCCGCCTTCCAAAAACAAGGAGGGCTGACCAGTTCCAAATCCGTGCAGGGGGCAGGAAGATGGGAGTCAAAGGGGTCACTGGAAAGGACCCAAGAGCAACACCAGGATTTTTCAGGTTGGAGGCAGGGAATGTGTTCCATGCCCTCATTCCCGCCTCACACAGGTTTTTCTTCTCCCCCCAGCACCCCTCCAAAGCCTGCTTCAAGTAGTTAATTGCTCTGTTCTGCACAATTTACGGGGTTTAATTACAAAACCAATACATTAGGCTGCTTGTCTGCAAGTCACAGCCCCAGCTCCAGCTTCTCTGCTGGGACACGGGGCAGTCAGAGCTTATTTCCAGCTCAGACCTCTGGATTTGCAGCTTTTCTCCTCCTTTTCAAGCCCTGCAGTTGGAAGGAATAACCCCTCCCACCCCTGCACAGCTTGGTTTGTATTTCCAGTGCTCACCTACCCTCTTCTCTTGAGCCTGGATTTGAGCTGCCCTTGGATTACTTGGATTTTTCCTCCTCATTTTAAATTTGCAGTTGGGTTTATATTTATTTCCAGTGCTCACCTACCTGTTGGAAAGGACATCTCTTTCCCTGCCCACTCTCTCCTGATCTTTGTGTTTAAACCATCCTTGAAATACTTGGATTTTTTTTCCATTTCCTTGTCCACTTTGGGGATTTTGTCCAGTTTGCTGCCTCCTGCATGGATCAGTCCACCATTCCCAGGAATAGCAGTGGGAGGATTCCCAGTGAGGAGGAGGAAGAGCAGAGCACAAACCTTGCAGTGCATTTCTAACCAACAACTGGACCAGATGAGCCCCCAATAACGAGATTTATGGGCAACACTCAGGTATTTCAGCATCTCCTTCTGCTGCTGGGTTAGAAGCAAGTAGAGAAAAATAATTTGGAATTCAGCAGCTTTTTTTTTAAACTGATTGTTTAAAGTGAAATAAATCAAAAGCCATCCACAGTCCTTGTTATTTTTTCCCCTGGTTACCACGTCGGGATGAGAAAACTTTCACTTCTGTTAACTCATGTGGGAGAAACTTCATCATCTCATCTCCATTTTCATAACCCAATGACAGCAAAATATTGGCACGAAGCAATTCCTGGGAAGCATTAACGCTTTCCCTGCAAAACTTCCTGGAGGATTCAAGGCTAAAAGTTTGTTCTTTGTACCTCCAGCTCGCTGAAATCGAGGGAAGTGAAGCAGAGACCACTTCAACAACGAGCAAAAGTGATGTGGGATTACTCCTACTGATTAACAACCCATAATTACAGTGTTTGTAGGACCCACCACTTGTCCTGCCTGTCAGAGCAGGTGATTAGTGGGATAAATGCAATTATACACCAATATCCACCCCAGTGCTGCTATGACTGGGCTCAAAGTCAGCACTTCAGTGTTAAAAAACACAAAGTCATCTTTCTAACAACCCTCTGAAGAGAGAAATCCTCCCTCTGGAAGAGTGAGGTGAAGAGATGGGCAGTGCCATGGGTTTTTATTCCCACCTCTGGGAAACAACTGCAACCTCACCAGTTGTTGCAGTTCTTACCTCACACTAAAGCATCCCTTTTGCAGGAGAAGAATCCAAGCTTTGTTTTCTCCTCCACAGAAAAGCCCTCTCTTATTTTAACACGTAATCATTCCACTTCTCCTGATGAATTCCACGGCTCAGCTGCTGCTTTGCTTTTTTGTTTGGTTTGGTTTTTTTTTTGGAAAGTCAGAAGTAGCAGCTCTTACTAATTGAGCCATTTCTTTTTTTTTTTAAGCTTCAGATTTTAATGGTTTGTTTGGCCACTCTGATATTATTTCCCAGCTCCCTCCCAGGCACAAAGCTCGTGTCAGCCTGCCCTCTCCTGGCAGCAGCAACAGCAGCCAGCCCAAAAACTGCTCCCAAAAATCTAAGCCCCCAAAGCAAATCCCAGCATAAAAACATCAAGCAAATTGCTCTGGGAGGGATTTAAGACCCGCAGATGTGGCACTTTGGGGACGTGGTTTATGGCCTGGACTTGATGATCTTAAAGCTCTTTTCCAACCTCAAGGATTCTACAACTTAAACAACGTTTTAAGTGGCAAAGTTTCTTTCAAGTTGCCTTAGGAGTTCTTGTCCTGGGAGGAACAGGCATAAAAATCCAACTGCTCTGTTTGCTTTTAAGCCCTATAAAAGCAGCCAAGTACATAAAGCATTTTGTTCCACAGAAAAGCCACTTCTTCCAGGCTGGCACAGGGATTCCTTCTTTCTCATTTGCAGGAAATGTCAAGAGGGCTCTGAAGTGTATTTTTGAAATCTAGAATAAGAATTCACCACAGATTTCAACAGCACTTTATAAGGAACGATCAAGCACATGGGAAGCAAACACTTCAAGCAGCTGTAGCTGCAAGGACACACAATTTACACTGTGATTTAACTACTAAACACAACTCCACGTTCATCATGAGTGAAGAATCTTTTATTCTCTTGATTACCTGCCACAGCTGCACCAGACCAACCCTCTGAGCCAAGCCAGCCTTCCCCACGGGTCTGACCTGCAAGCATTTGAGGCATCAAGACAAGGAAAATTAGCTCTAAGTTATGCAGAAAAAATTAATAAGGAACTAAAAGTGGAAGAGAGGAGAAAACAGCACTTGAGAGAGAACATAAAACTCTGATACTGATCTTCACTTCAGGAAACCAGAGAGAGATAAAACCTCGCTGAGTGCCACCTCAAGAGGAATTTCTGCTTCCTCAGAGTGTTTCGTGCTATTTCTGTCCCTCTTATTTACAGGATTTGTGATTCTCCTCTGCTGGCTTTGAGCTCAAGATGTTTCTTGGGGGTGTGGGTGCACTTTTCCTCCTCCCCCTTCTGCCAGAACCCTCAGCACGACGAGCAGAGTCCTCATTCTCCTTCCCCAGGGCCGACAGCAGGCTGGGCTCCCGCTCTGCGGGGTGACCATTCCCAAATCCCGCCTGGCTGGACGTGCTGAGTCTCCTCCTGGATCTGGGAGCAGCAGCTGCCAGGGGGGGCTCCTTTGGGATGTCTCTGGGGAGCTGAATCCACACCAGGCCCTCCCTCCCTGCCTCTCTGCTCAGCCTCGTGCTGCGCCTCACTCTGGTGTCGCCGCTGGTGCCGCTCCTGCTCCGGGAAGGCTGGAAGGGAACTCTGGGAACAGACAAAACTTCCTCCACGTTATAGGATGAGACTGGGAGGTCAGTCCCAGTTATTTCCAAGGATTCAACAGGAGGAAAGTAGATGGCACTGCTGCTTCTTCTTCGTCTTCTTCTGCCACTTAGAGAAGCTGGCTGAGGGCACTGAGTTCTGTGGGCACCCTCGTGGACATCGGTGGCCTGTTGTTCCAGAAATTCCAGGAGATTTCCCTGGAGCTGCTCATTTTCTCTCAAGGAACTACTCTCTTCTGCTTCATTTTCACATGCAGCCTCTTCACCTTGCTGGAAAGGTGTACCAAAACCACCCTCTGCATCTGGCACAACGTTTGGAACCTGGGGGGATACAAATAATAATTCTTCATTGATTTTTTTTTTTAGATCCAGGCAAAAGGTGATCCACAAAAACCTGTAAAAAAAAAAGCTGTAAATAGTCCTGACCTCTTCCAAGGCTGGAGATCCCATGGCCTCTCCAGGCAGGCTGTTCCAATCCCTCTTTTCCCCCCCCAAATATGACTTTCCTGATCCTTAAACAGCCCGGTTACCTCCTGAGCAGCGCCACAAGCAGCCTCCAGGGACACCTGGAAGGTGCCATCCCTGGATGGGGCCATGTCCAGGTCCCAGGAGCTTGGATTCACATCAGCTGCAGGGATGATGCTCTTCCCTCCCAGCCCTTCAACCACTGCCTGCTCCCGGCCAGCATTCCAGGATTTGGGATTAACTGCAACTGCACCACCTGAATTAGAACACACACGTGGTTAATTAAGTCTGGGGATGCACAAAATCTCTTTTAATTATGACAGCAAAAAGCTTCGTGGTGTTTTACTTACATAAAATTAACCTTCTAAACAACCATTCCAAAGAAAAAGTGGGGAAAAAACCCACAGAAAGTTCTGCACATCCCTTAATTTGTCATGCTCAACTCACCAGCTTTCAAGAGTGGGAAAATATCAGTGCCCAGACAAAGAAAAGAGGTGTTTTTTTGTCAGCTTTACACTGGAGTCCAACAGGAGTTAAATTTATCCAGTTGGGCATTATTAATTATTAGATCCTCCAGACTCTACTGTTACAGGAGCAATTAAATTAAGAAAATATAATCCTGGGCTCGTTACTGATACACAAAGATAACCAGGAACAGCTTTTTATGGAATAAAAGAACATGAGAAGGAACAGAAAGAGCAAAGCAAAACAAAACTAAAAACCAAATTACCTGAAAAAAGCCACTGTGCCTTTGGTGAGTCTGGGGATGAGGCAGAAGAGAAAACCTCTGGGATTTCAGGGATAGGGCTGAGGAGGGGTTTCTTAGAAGCCATCTCTCTTTCCCCATACAAAGGTTTTTTGGCTTTTCTCTTTCTTCTTTTGCCAGAGCTTGTCTGCCTTGTCCTCTGAAAAGATTGAGAAGCGACACCACTGCTGGATTTGGATGGGAGGACAATTGTTTCCCCTAAAAAAAAAGGAAGGTTCCCCTCCTCATTCTACCACCTGAGAACTCAAAGGATTTCTTTTCAAACACGAGACCTGGTTTTTGGTTCAAGCAAAGCTCTGAAAACTGCAGTTTCTTCACTAAGAGGCAGGAATCAGCAGGGCAGTGGCTGCCACTCACCTGGGTCTTTCTGGGAGCAGAGGTGGGTGGGTTCTTCTGTCTCTGGGTCTTGTTCCTCCTGGGAATTTCCATGTTTTCAGCATTCCTGGTGCTGGAGGCTCCTGAGGGGCTGCAATCAGCCTGCCCTGACTCTGCTCTCAGCTGTTGGGGACGGGGAGTTTGAGGGGGATTTTATAAAACAACATCATAATCAAACTGTAAATTCATTTATGGGGCCATAAAAGGTAGAGACAAGTGGAAATGAAACCTCACAGCTTGTCTTCATACAGTAAAGAGAGCCCTATTTGGGCAAAAAGGGCATTCTAATGAAAAACATAACATTTCTGCCTGAAGAAGTTCAAACAACTGCTAAAAAATCATCTTACCTTCCTTTTAGCAGAAGAACGAGTTTTTACCGTGTCAGGTTTGTCAGTTGGTGCTGTGATAGATGAGAAAAAAAAATGAATTTTGATTCAATTTCAATGCCAAAGTTGATTTTTTTTATCCCCATCATTTCTAATATTACTCACTTGAACCACCTTTGTCTTGAGGAGTAACTTATTGAGGAATATCAAACATGGCAAGATAAAAATATAACATCTTGCTTTATAAAATAAAGGAGAACTAAGCCTGAGTGTGGTAAGAAATAATTAGCACAGATTAATAATACACAGCTTCAATAAATGCATGTGCACAACCCACTTTCAGTTCTTTTAGTGTTGGTTTGATGTTAAAAATGCTCAAAATCACAATATCAGAATCAAGACTGTAAATCCAATTTAAGCCTGACTAGATCAGGCACTTCCAGAGAAAATGCAAGGTTAAATAACAACCTAAAACCACAGGAAAAACCTGCAGCTTTAGAAGAAAGTATTTAAGTTTTAGCACAACCCAAATATATCCTCTGCATAAAAAAAAAGCCAGCCAAAAAAAAAAAACAACCAAACCCAAAACAAACAAAAAAGAAACAAACAAAGAAAAAAACCCCCTCAACTCTCAATTTTCAGGTACAAAATCATTACCTACAGCCAAAAATAGAAGTTACCTTCTGCATTTTCAACAGGTGAAGGGTCTTCTACAGCACAAGAAGCCTCCAGGAAGTGTTGGGGAGGCTCAACACATTCCTTCAAACCAAAAGAAAAAAAAATTATATTTTTTAGCTATAAATATGCCAGATAATGACATTTTTAACCAATAAATTATAGCAGAGATGTACAAACTCACATCATCACAATCAAAATGCAGCCTGGGTGGAGGTTGTGCAGTTAAGCCTGGCCTTGGGGCAGGGCTGGAGCTCAGGCCTGGGGAGGCTCCTCTGCGCAGGGGGGTGTTTGCAGGCAACGTCTGGTCGAAGATTTCAGGGCTCAGAACTTCCCCAAAAGTGACTTTTTTCTTCTTTGGAGTCCTGAAGTCCAGACTGTCGGTGTTGTCTGTTGGGATAAAATAAAGGAGCAGCTCAGGGGATGTGCAGCTGTGCCAGAGTGGGCTTTTTCATGGGGCTGAATATTCAAAATACGCCTTGACACGTCCTGTGGGTTCATCCACAATTTTCAGTGGAGCTTTATTACTGAAGTTTTGGGGTGGGATTAATTGTAGCAGATTTGATTTAGTGCTACTTTATTTTATTTTATTTAGGAGGGTTGATTTTATTTTATTTGCCTTGGCAATCTGATTTTCCATGTCATGCAGTGGGAGGCCACACTAATTGTGTGCTAATTCAGTGGTGGTTTAGTGCCCATCATCATCCAGATGTAGCAAAGAGGCCAAACTCTGTGATCCCAGATGATACTTTGCCTATTTAAAAAACAAAATGGGATTATTTTTTGTTTAAAAAAGTGGGAACCTGACCTGTGTCTGATGCTTCAAAGGTTTTTTCACAGTAGGAGACTGGGACAGAATCACCTCCTCCTCTGCCAACTGCATCCTTCAAGTATTCCTGTCAAATATAAACGGTACAAGTCACTACTATTTAATTATCAAATATCAAATTCAATTAAAATATCCTTCTCAAAAATGAAGAGGAGTTTTCCTGTGAGCAGCATTTAATAACCAGTCCTTTGGATTAAAAACTTCCTTGTTTGTTGAACGAATCAAACTCAAAGACCTTCATATCATATCCAGAATCCTGGAATGGTTCGGGTTGGGAGGGACCTTAAAGATCATCTCATCCCACTCCCTGCCATGGGCAGGGACACCTCCCACTACCCCAGGATGCTCCAACCTGGCCTTGGACACTTCCAGGGATCCAGGGGCAGCCACAGCTCCTCTGGGAATTCCACCAGCACTGTGGTTACAGACTGTGCAGGAGTTGGTACCTCCTTGGCACCACCAAACCAACCTTGGGGCTGTCCAGGAGTTGCCTCGTTGGGTTTTTCTTCAGGATGGACCTCAGGGAGCCGCTCTGGGTGAGGTCACTGAAGGCAGCAGTCCCTGTTCCCTGGGGGGTGGCAGGTGGGGTGACAAGGGCTTTGCTCTCCTCAAACACCCCCAGGTCTTTTTGCCCATAGACCCATTCCTAGAGAAAAAGTTACAAGATTTTTTTTTATATATATTTATATATATGTATCAATATATATCATCAATTTATAGAGACACCAACACGTGGTAAAGAAATAAAAAACGACCTGAAAATGCTGCCTCTTAAAATAGCACAAATTATGGAGTTTTTTAATCCCACAGACAAAAGATTTCAGAGTCTTCTCAATCAGCCACCACTTTAGTTGGATTTATTTTCCCCAAAAACTAAATGCCTAAAAGGATTAGACAGCACAAATGAAAATACAAGGCATGAAAAAGCTCTTTTAATCACTAAATCAGAAGTTTCCTCCTCATTCTGAGTACCTTTGGAGCAGCAGGTTGAGTCACAGCTGGGTTTGGGGACAAGATGCTGCAGATCCAGGGGTCAGATTTACTGGTCATGGTCACATTTTCCCTGCAGTTCTCCTTCAAATCAGCTCCACTCTTGTCCAACATCAACTTTTCACTCCACTGCTCCAGGTTTGGCTCCTTTTTAAGAGGCACTTTGTTCTGAGCTGCATCAGTGAAGAACAAAACAAAGCCCACAAAGAAACCACAAGGACAAACATCAGGTTTTTTCAGTGAATTCTGGTTTTATGTTTCTTCACCAAGAGAGATGCAAATAGCCAGGTAATGTTTGAGGCAGGGAAAAGAAAACACAGGGATTTTTTTTAGATCTACTTTGAAAGTAACATTACCAACCCTCCAAAAACACCCATGCCAAGCCTTACAAAGGAAGATTATTTTGGTTTAGATGAAGTATCTTTAGTTTCTGACTTTTCAGCCTAAAGGAAGACCTGATGTTTAAGGCAAATCACTGACCAGAATATGAAATCAACTTACAAGAGCCTCCTTCCTGAGAATCCTCCCCATGGCACAGCCCAGTTTCCCCTTCAGCTTCTTGGAGGGATTCAAAAGATGTTTGAAAGGTTTCAATCTTGTCCTTCAACGACCTGACATTTGCATGTTTAAAAGGACTAATCTGCCAAGACAAAAATTACCCTCATCAGACTCTTTTTTCTTTTTTTTTTGCCCCTCCATATGGGTTTTATTACTTTGTATTTGTCCTTGGATATAAAAGAAATAGAGAGAAGAAGCAAGTCTTGTGTTTAATCTGCCTGCAGTTGTAGGTGTATGGTAAGAATAAGCAAAAAAAAAAGGAATTTTATGAAGAAATATTTTAAGTTTTACTGCATTTAATAATCTGTTCCTCTGGGCTATGTCCAGGATTTGCTTTCTGACAGCCTGGGACGGTTCAAGTTAACAAGAGGTCTGATTAAACTTGTGCTGATATTGACTTCACTTGCAACACTTTAACTACCCAAAAATCAAACCTGGCAAACACAGGAAAGTAAGACAAGTTCAAATCCATGAGCAGGCTCCACATGGAGAAGATTCCAGGCTGGAACATCATCCCCTCATCCTAAAGTCGTGTCCAAGGCAAGTCAGCAAACTCAGGTGGTGCCTTGGGATGGATTCCCCCCAGGAATTGCCCCATCCCTGGGGGTTCCTGGGGGCAACTGAACTGATATTTGGGCAGGACTCTCACCTGGGTAAAAACTTCTTTTTGCCTCCTGCTCCTCTGCTGGGCCAGGTACCGGATCAGGGTGTTGTTTTCCGGGGAGCCCCTCAGGCCAATGGTCGATCTGCGCCTCAGCTTTAACAAATTCGGAGAATCCCCTGCAAAGGGGGCAAGAAAAGAGCTTAAAAAACCCCAAAACAATAAGAACAAAACATGAGGAAGACAGGCTTTTTTTTATACCTACAGCTTCAAAATGTTTTTTTTTTTTTTTTAACTTTTTAAAGAGTGGTTTCTGCTATTTATGGAAAGACCCAAAGTTATCTTGCTCAGCTCAGGAAGTTTTCCTGAAGCAGATTAATATTTAACTGATTGATATCCCAAGTGAGGAGCTGGCTGGTTTTTGGTTTTCAGATTGCTGGTTAAGGAACTGTCCACAGGATTTGCAGAACTGGTCTTGACAACTCCCCTTGTGAAGCTGAGAGATAAATAGGGAACATTTAATTGTGTGGGATAGAGGAGAAATCTTAGTTAAATGTGGTAGTTATTTTACATATAAGATATCCTGTGTATGCATTGGATGTGTGTATGCATGTGTGATATATAAATATGTAAGTGTATCAATAAATGTGATATATATATATATATAAAATATAGGATGTTATAGCAACTTCCTCTCAGAGTCTGCTCCTTGGGCATATCCAAGCCTGGCCAGAGCAGCTGAATCTGCCCTAAATTGGAACTTTTGGGAAGAGCTTGGAGGAGATGACCTCTGGGAAGGACAGGAGTGCTTCCTCACTGCAGCCTCACCTTTACAGCGTTCAGTGAAGCTCTCGGGAGCAATCCCAAACTCAGCAATTGTCACAGCAGCAAAATCAACGGGTTTTCCCCTCTGCCCTTCAGACAGCCCCAAATCAGCTTTTCCTTCAGCATTGCCCCTCTCAGGAGTCGCGTGGGAATCGCTGCCCAAGGAACCAGCCCTGCTGCCTGGAAACTCCTCCTGCCTGTGCCCAGGCAAGGTGGGATCAGTGCCCACATCCCCACAGCAGCCCCCGGGAGGCGGCAGCTCCCGGGATCCCCCTCGGGGTGGGGCAACTCCTGCCCGAGGCCTCGGGGGGAGCTCAGGGCACGTTTTGGTGGCCACAGCGGGTTCCCATCGCTCAAATTCTCCTTCCTGGACGCTCTGACGACTCGGAATTTAGTCCTTTTGCAGCTCTTCTGGTCTTTTGGTGGAGGGAGAGAGGCCTCGTCTTTCTCCTCGAGACAACCACTCTCGTTTTCTTTGACTTTCAGGGGGCTCTTGGATTGTCTGTGCATTGTTTGGGATTTATTTTAAGAAACATTCACTCAGCCTTCGCTGCTGTAATCACAGATTCCTATTAAAAAAGAAAAAAAACCCCCAGATTATTATAGTTATTTTCCCTGCCGTGCTCAAGCTGCTCCCAAACCCACATTTTTCCCCCAGCAAGGTGTTTTTTTTTTCCACGGTGTGGTGGAAAGGGAAATTTATCTCCAGAAAGCTACAGGGAAAGGACACGAGGGGCTGGAAGTGGAAAGAGGAATGCACAGTAATGTAAGCAGTATAATAAACATAATATAAACAATAATTATAAGCAATAATTATAAACATACACAGGGAAGGGAACACAAGGCTACGACTTCAAGCTGTCAAACTTCATATGAGGATAAAATACGTGCATAAAGCACATTAATCACAACCACACCGTGACAACTGTTTTGCTCCAAGTGTTGCAACAAATATAAGCAGTTTAATAGTACTTTTTATAACACTCATTAGTACCAGCAGAGAGAGAGAGAGAGAGAGAGAGAAGACAAGTCTTAGGAAGAAACCAGCAGAAAGGACAACACCAATAATACTTAAAAACAAAAACAAAAAACAAAAAACTGAGTTTTAAACAGAAAGCTTAAGAGGCGAACTGGTTTGTTTTGGTTTTTCGTGGGTTTTTTTGCCGTTAGCTCGTTGGATTTGAAGTCGACGATGTAGAATCCCGCCCGTACCACCCCCCCCCAAGCCCCTCAGGGCTCGCCCTCGTACCCCCTCAGCGCATCCATCCCGCACCCCACCCCCGGCGCCGCTCGCAGCCCTCAGACACCCCGCGATTCCTCCGTGCCGCCTTCCTAGGCTCCCGACCGCAGGACGACCCCCAGCCCCTCAGGGACCATGACAGACCCCCACACACCCCCACCCAACCCCGCCATCCCCGCGCCCCTCACGAAGCCGCCTCACCCCGTCCCGCCTCGCGTTCAAACCGCGCCGCGCCACCGCGTATCCCTCCGCGCCCCCGCCCCCTGACTCCGCTCCCACCAAAAAGCCACCCCCGCTTCACGCAGCACCGCACGGATCGCGGCTGGCGGGAGGCGGCCCCCCCCTCCCGCGTCTCCCCCACGCACCGGGGCGGTCCGCAGGGCTCGGCGTGGAGCGGGGGGATCGGTGGGAACTCTTTCGCTGGCGGAGGCATCACGGTCCGTTGAGCCGCAGCACCGCTTGGAGGCGGGGGGGGGGGGGAAAGACCGTCTTCAACCCATTCATTCAACGGGCCGCGCCCACGTGACCGCGCGGCGGCCAATCACAGCCGCTAAACCGCGCTTTATGCAAATAACGCCGCTTCGCCCCGCCTCTCACGGCGCTGATTGGGCGGGCACTCTCGCAGCGCGGCGCTGATTGGCTGCCCGTCGCGTCAGTCACGGCGCGGCGCTTCCGGGTTTTGCGGCGGCCGCAGCATGAGGCGGGTGACGCTGTTCGTGAACGGCAGCGCCCGCAACGGCAAGGTCAGGCCTGGGGGTCACGACCGGGGGGGTCCCGAGGGGAAAAACGAGGAGATTCAGGCGGGAGGAGGTGTTAGGGACGCTCCTGGTCCTCCACGGGTCGCGGCCTGCCGGTGGCAGCCCGCGGGAGCGGCGCTGTGGGGATGGGGGTGACCCCGGGAATAACGGCATTAAATGGTTAAAAAACCTCGCTGGGGATCCTCTCAGGGGGTGCAAAAAGGTTGATTTGTGGCCCGGTGGTGTGGTTCTAAATATATAAGCCACGGTCTCGACGTTTCCACTCGGGCTGTGAGCGCAGAGGTTGATGTGGCTGCACTTTAATGCTGTATTTCTATTAAATGTTGTCCATAGTGGTGATTTACTCCTGTATTTCTGTTAAACGCTGTTCACGATCCCGATTTTTCCACCCCCACACCCCGAGCGCAGAAGTCGCCGTGACTGTGTTTGAACCTTGCAGTTCGAAACGTTTTTATCCATGACCCCGATTTTCCCATCCACAGCTATTTAGGGGAGTAAAAAACTGGATCGTCATCTTCTTACTCAGCATTCCCGTCACTGCTGCTGTTGGGTTTTGGGAGCTGGGCAAGTCACCCCATTTTTAGGCAGTTGTTCTCCCACCAAAGTGTGTCTGTTTGCTTGGGTTTTGGGTCAAAATCCACGTGTATTTTCCTCTCTCTGTAAGATCTATTGGTATATAGCATATATTGGTGTATAACATGTATTGATATATAAGATATATCAAGATATATTGAGATGTAAAATATCTACCTCAATGTAAGGTATATTGAGATATAAGATACACTGGTATATAAGATATATTAAAATAAAATATATTGGTATGTAAAATATATTAAAATCTATTGGTAGATAAAATCTGCTGGTATATAAGATATATTAAAATCTATTGGTATATAAAATCTGTTGGTATATAAGATATATTAAAATCTATTGGTAGATAAAATCTACTGGTATAAAAGGTATATTGGTAAATAAGATATATTAATATGTAAGATATGTTGGTAATTAAGATATGTTGGTAAATAAGAGATATTGGTAAATAAGAGATATTGAGATATAAGATATACTGGTATATAAGATATATTAAAATCTATTGGTAGATAAAATCTATTGGTATATAAGATATATTAAAATCTATTGGTAGATAAAATCTGCTGGTATATAAGGTATATTGGTAAATAAGATATATTAATATGTAAGATATGTTGGTAATTAAGAGATGTTGGGAATTAAGAGATGTTGGGAATTAAGAGATGTTGGTAAATAAGAGATGTTGGTAAATAAGAGATGTTGGTAATTAAGAGATGTTGGTAAATAAGAGATTTTGATATATAAGATATATTGGTAAATGAGACATATTGATCTATGTGATATATTGATCTATAAGATATATTTATATATAAGATATATTAGTAAATGAGACATATTGATCTATAAGATATATTTATATATATAAGATATATTTATATATATAAGATATTGATCTATAAGATATATTAATATATATAAGATATATTGATATACAAGATAATTAAGATATATTGATATATAAGATATATTGGTATATGAGACATACTGATCTATGTGATATATTGATATATAAGGTATATTTATATATATAAGATATATTGATATATAAACCATCTTGCTATCCCTGGTGGGTGTGAGGTGGCAGAACAACCTGAGCCCAGTTCCCTGCCTTTTAAAATCCCATTTCCTGGATTTTATTCCCCCCTCCTCAGGTGGTGGCTGTGTATGGGACCCTCTCAGATTTGCTCTCTGTGGCCAGTAACAAGCTTGGAATAAAAGCCACCAGTGTTTACAACGGCAAAGGGGGGCTCATCGATGACATTGCTTTGATTAGGTAAGGATTAGCCAATTAAAGGCAAATCAGGGGGGTGGATTAAGAGGCCAGCCTGGTAATCCTCCTCAATCAATAACCAGATATTCCTCATTTCCAGCCTGGGTGCCCAAGGGGCCTTTCATCCCTCCAGAAAAAAGAGATAATCCTGGTTTTGAACTTCAGAGCGTTTCTCTGTCGATTAATCAGAACTTGATCCAAGGTGGATTTGAGGCCTTTTAACCAGGGCAATGTGTTTACCATTCCAGCCAGCCCTGGGATGGGGATTTTTGTGGAGAGGGGACAAATTCTGTCATTGCTTTGGCATCACAGAACAGCCCCAGACTGGGCAGAAAAGCAACTATTTAGTAAAAATCAGTTGAGGAGCAGAAATGGGCCCTACTTGGAGGCTGCAGATGAACCCCTAGTGAGGTCAGTCTGTCCCAATCCACTGGAACCTGCAAAATTCAGATAAAAACCAGATACTGAAGTTCCACTGGTTATAATTCACCTGAAAGTGGCCAGGAAATTGTGATTAATCTTCTTTTTCTCCTCCTCTCCCCCCTGCCCTCTCGTCTCTCAGGGATGATGATGTTCTGTTTGTCTGTGAAGGGGAGCCCTTCATTGGTAAGTCTGTAAGTCTTAGATTTGTATATAAAATACAGAAAAATATATATAAACCCTTGTGTTTAATAGAAAGAGGTTTTATTTTGCTTCCATATAAATTCAGGATTTTATTTGCTGGTGTTTCCAGAAGACACCATAGGGGATGAATTAAGAAATAGTCACATTTTTTCTAATAACTACTAATGTGTCATAATAACTCATTATAAACATATCCTATGAATGTTATATTAATTCTATAACTATATATTATTAATTATTATAAAAATTAGTCTAAATAAAGAACTCCTAAGGTGTCTTTCAACCTGTAGATCCTCAGACTGATGGGAGAGCTCAGGAGGAGCTGACAGGGTCCCACACAGACTGGCTGACACTCAATGTGGGGGGCAGATACTTCACCACCACAAGGTAAAAAATGCTTTTAGTCTCAAAAAACAACCTCGATTTCAGTGCAGCAGAAGAGCTTGAGAAATAACTTATTGTGAAGTGGGAGGTCTTCCTCTGTGTTTTGTGGTCACCACCACAGTTCTGCAAGAAATCAGCTCTTGGAACGTTTTATATGTGTGATGTAAAAATAAAATTGCACTGCCTTGGTCTTCCAGGAGCACTTTGGTTAACAAAGAACCTGACAGCATGTTGGCCCACATGTTTAAAGATAAAGGTGAGTACACTGAAATAAACTTTTAATTTTGTTAAGTGGTAAATTAGCAAAATAGGCAAAATGCACTGGTAAGCTGAGAATCTAAAATATCAAACCTATATTAAAGTACCAAAGCAGAACGTAGCATTATTCTTTTAATAACTCCTTGTTTCTCTGTTGCCCACCTAAAGTTTATCATCTCACAGAGTGAAAACACAGCTCCCACCCACAGTTAGCATTTTGGGTCCCTTTTGGTTTGTTTAATTTTAGGTTTTCATGTTAGTGTTGCTCGGGTTTGGTCAGGGGAGCCCACGAGCAAACCCTGCACAGGGGCAGCCTTTGGGAGACAATCAGGCTCCAGCCTCAGTGCTGCTTTTATTCTTACCTATTTGAGAAAATATTTCAGTTCTTTAGAGCAGGAAAATGTTTCATTTTAAGGTGATTTTTCCCCCCTCCTCACCCCTCAACTCCTCTTTTACAAAACATGTGGAATTTTGGTAATAAAACTCTGCAAGTGAAGCCCATGCTCTTCTGCTAACATATCAAATTTAATTCTCTATAGTAATCTATCCAGTTTAATGACACATATATATATATATGTTGTGGAAACAGATGCTTGGGGGAACAAGCAGGATCATAGAGGAGCATTCCTAATTGACCGCAGTCCCGAGTATTTTGAGCCCATTTTGAACTATTTACGTCACGGACAGCTCATTGTAAATGATGGCATTAATTTGCTAGGTAGGTATTACCTGTCTGACCTCTGAATTATTTGGGAGTTAAGCTTTGCCCTCCAGGTGAAGCCAGAGGGACCTTTGTGTGCTCATCTCCGTGGTTTTCTTTGGAGTTTTGATTTCCTCGGGATTTATTCTCGAGCGCTGCAGCTCCACGTTGCTTGGTTTAATGGAGGTGTTGCTTGATTCATTTAATGAAGGTGGCTTGATTTAATGAAGACAGGCTCTTTGTTTATCTTGGGAGCACTAAAAGTTTTCCATCCTGGATTCATGTCTGGCTGGAATTCTGGAGTTGATCCCTTTAACCCAGTGCTGGTGTTTCAAACATCCTGGCTGAGCAATTTTGGTTTTTTTTTCCTTTTAGCTGCAAGCAAGCTTTTCCTCTGCCCAGTTACACCTAATACAATGTCTGTGGTTGTTCTCCAGTAGGGAGAAGGGTGATTTCTGGATTCCCAGTTCCCTGGAAATAACAAACTCTTGGTTTCCAGGGGTCCTGGAGGAAGCCAGGTTTTTTGGTATCGACTCGCTAATCGAACACCTCGAAGTAGCCATTAAGGTAATTGGTTTGAACACCTGAATGCACCTGCCCTGCTCTTCCAGGGGATGTGTAATTTAGTGCTGTCTGTGTCAGCTGTTGAACAACATTCCCAACAGAATTCCCAGCCAGCTGAGGATCACTCTCCCATCTCCCGGAAGGAGTTTGTCCGGTTCCTGCTGGCAACGCCCACCAAGTCCGAGCTGCGCTGTCAGGTGAGGATACATTCCCCTTCCTAACAAAAAACTGGGAATTCCTTCCCAACATCTCATCCACACCTCCCTCTTTTAGCTTAAAACCACTGCCCCTCGTGCTGTCCCTCTGTGGGTGGCTTGGGCTGCATTGCTGCTCTAGGGGGAAGCTTTTCCTGGAGGAGCAGTTGGTTGAAATGTAAAATAAACCCAGGACAATTCTTGACAGCTTTGCATTTATATTTCATTGGTCTTGAGTAGCAGAATAAATGGTCTTGTGTGTTTTTATCTGGATAGAGTCATGGGTTGGGTTGGGAGGGACCTTAAAGCTTCTCATTCCACCCCCTGCCATGGGCAGGGACACCTCCCACTAGTCCAGGTTGCTCCAGCCTGGCCTTGGACACTTCCAGGGATCCAGTGACAGCTTCTCTGGGAATTCCATCCCAGCCCTTAACTTTGTGTCCTGACCTACTCCCCCCTTCCCTTCTGTAACCCTGTGTTTTTTGGGATGGGGTTTATTCCTTGGGCTTTCCAGGGCCTGAATTTCAGCGGAGCGGATCTTTCCCGCCTGGATCTTCGCTACATCAACTTCAAGATGGCCAATCTGAGCCGCTGCAACCTGGCCCACGCCAACCTGTGCTGTGCCAACCTGGAGAGGGCTGACCTGTCAGGCTCTGTGCTGGATGTAAGAGCTGCTGCAGCTTTGGGAGGGCCGGGCTGGTGTCACCAAACAGGAGCTGGGACAAACAGAGCGGTGGAAAACGCCCAGTTCTTGCACATATCCTAGAGTTGTTCCATTTACCAAAGCTTTTAGGCTTCCTCTCAGTAATGATTTGATGGGATTCACTCCCAGACCCACTCCCAGTGGTTCAGTGTTATTCAGATGTTGTTTTGATTGGGTTTGGTGTCGCTCTGCTGGCTCTCACTGCCTGCTGTCCGTGCCAGTGTGCCAACCTGCAGGGGGTGAAGATGCTCTGCTCCAACGCCGAGGGAGCGTCCCTCAAAGGCTGCAACTTCGAGGACCCCTCAGGCCTGAAGGCTAATCTGGAAGGTGAGAAGTCTTTTCCCTGTGAACCTGTGCCAACTGAAGCCTGTGTTTGTGCATTTACATGGACCAGGAAAGGTCCAGCTGTGGTTGGTGCCACCCTGAGCAGGGCTGAGTGTGTGACCACCTCGTGTCCTCCTCCCAGTCACACAGCTCTGAGGCAGCACCAGGGTGGAGCTGCTGTGTTTCTCCCCCTTTTTTTCCCCTCACAGAACTCCTTTCTGTGTGTGTGTGTTCCAGGTGCCAACCTGAAGGGAGTGGACATGGAGGGCAGTCAGATGACAGGAATCAACCTGCGAGTGGCAACGCTGAAAAACGCCAAACTAAAGAACTGTAACCTCAGGGGAGCAACGTTGGCAGGAACTGACCTGGAAGTGAGTTGGGATTCATTTTACACCCTGTTCCTTCAGATCCTGCAGTCAGCTGGTAAATTTGGGGGTTGCTGGCTTTTGGCTGACCTCTCCAGCTTCAGGCTAGAGCAGAGTTAAGGTAAATGTGCTCCAAGTAAAGCTTCGAACAGAGTTCTGGGTGCATTCCATCGACACTTCTTTTTGTTTTTGCCCTTCAGAATTGTGACCTCTCGGGTTGTGACCTGCAGGAAGCCAATTTGAGGGGCTCTAACGTGAAAGGAGCCATCTTTGAAGAGATGCTGACCCCCCTGCACATGTCCCAGAGCGTCAGATAGGGAAGAGAACACCTCGTCGAGGAAGGAATCGGAACGTTTGTCGTGACTTTCTTCACCTCCTCCCCTTCCTGAGTTAGAAGTAATGGTTGTTAGACAACTTCCATTTGCAGTAGTGCCTAAGTAGACTCTTCCTGCTCACTTCTGGGGGAGGGAATTTTTGTTTCAGAGGTGGAAACAGAGAGTTTCTGCCTTTGTGAACAGAGTGTGTGAGGAAAGGGGCTGGCTTTGGAGGGGGAGAGGGTTCAAGACTTTCATTGTTCAGCATTGCCTCACTTTGGAATGCATTTTAATTTATAAAGCACAATATATGCAATTCTATTTATTAAACCTGTAGCTGCAATATGAATAGAAAATGTTATTCCTGTAGAGTAGCAAACACAGTCCAGGTTTACAGGTAGGCAAGTGTATTTACAGTCAGTGTCTTCATTCCTGCAGGGTGTCAGTGCCAGGGGGTGCTCACACAGGTGCCCACAGGATGTGTTCAGCTCTCTGCTGGGGTGGAAACAGTGGGGAACTGTTCTCAGAGGTCAGAAATTGTGTCTGAGTGCAGGTTTAGAGCAGCTTTATCACCTCAGACGTGCAGAGGAAGCTGCTGCCCTGCAGGGACCTGCCCACACCCTGGATTGAGTCACCCCTGGAACATCCCTGGGCAGAAATGGCATGTCTTGGTTAATCCTCTCCAAATGAGTGTGAAATTGCACTATCAATCAATCAATCAATCACAGATGGGAAGAAGAGTTCCCCTGCTTCCACATGGCCTGGCCACTCCAGCCTGGAGTTCCTGGAGCTTTTCCCTTCTTTGTTGGGAATTCAGTGCCCAGAGGGAAACACAGAGGGAAGCTCTGGGGCCACAGCACCTGCTCCCCCCTCATCTCATCCCTTCAGCAGATGAAGAAATAGCCCTCTTTCCCCTCGGTGTACTATGCAAATATTCCTTTAAAGCATCAGCATCATCCCTTGGCCCAGCCAGACCCACTTTGGGCTGCTTAAAAGTGGCTGTAAAAGCATCTTGCCCCTTCCATCCACACTTCCTTCACCTGTGGGGAAAAAAAAAGCAGGGAGAGCTGGTTTTTGTGTGAGCTGTGCAGGGCAGGAGCCTCTGAGCTGCAGGCTCAGTGTAGTTCTCAACTAACACTTCTTTCAGACACAATCAAAAAAGCACAGGAAGAAACGATACCAAAAAAAAAAATAAATAAAAATAAAGGTGCATCAAAGAACTTACCTCAGATGCTTCAACCACCCCAAAGTTGAAACTCACCTTGAATCCTAAGGAAATCCAGCTGTTACAGGGCAGATCCACAGGAAGGGGCAGTGGATCCCAAAGCCTGGGGAGTGTGACAGTGGTTTGGTTGTCTCTCACTTTGCAGTGCAATCTCCTGTCCTCAAGTCTTTGTTGTCTCAGTCTGTGTTGTTCCAAAAATGCTGCTTTGCCACCAGTCTGGGGAGATCAGTGATTATTTTGGATCAGGAGGTGATTGGTTTGAGGGGGGAGGAGGGGGTAATTGCAGGATTCTCCCTTATTTCCAAGTTGGTTTGACTCAGTGTGACATGAACTTCCCAGGACTCAAAATCCCGGGCTCATGTGCTTCACAACTGGGATTATTTCCTCCAGATCCCTCTGGATCAGGCTCTAGGACACCACCCCAGTGACCCAGAGGTTGAAGGGAAATATTTCAGTGTGATTTTTGGAGTCCTCTCTTCCCCCCTCAAGGCTTTCAGTGGGGGGTGATGTGTGTGTGTGTTGCAGTAGGAGAAGATTCCTAGGGCTAGAGAAATAAATGAATTATTTTTTTCTTTGTCGTTATTTTGTAGCTGGCAGAAGTAAAATATTGAATATTGTATGGGGGGGGGAATACTCTATTTTCATAATCACTGTGTATAAAAAAAAAATCTATTGGAACTTTCACTGGGAGCACTGTTGATTAATCACAGCACGTGGCATCGTCATTCACAGCTGAATTTAAGGTACCTCTTTTGCTATGGCAGAGCTGGATGAGGAGCCCAAAGAGGGGCAGAAATTCCAGCCTCATTTAAGTTGCATTAATAAAAGTGTGAAAGAGGAAAGTGGCTTGGTTGTCTTCATTTAAATAAACAACCCAGTCTTACCTGACAGCAGGAATTGTTGGGTTTGAGCATAAACTTTGCTGGAGAAAAACAAATGTACCTTGGGGGGGTTGCTGCAGTGGTTCTGATACATTAATTTAGGGAATTTTCACAAAACCTCCTTAAAAAGGAAATGCAAAAAAAAATCTTACTGAATCCTCTGAAATGCTGCAGCACAGGCAAAAAATTGTCCTTGACTTTGGCCTGTAATTGTGATTTCAGATTGATAAACTGACTGTACAAACAAGCCATTCCCTGGGTCCTGTCCCTCTATCCCTTATCCCAAATCCCTCTCCAGCTCTCCTGGAGCCCCTTTAGGCCATGGCCAAGTCCTTGACTTCCATGCAGGTACCAAAGAGGACTGGCAGGAAGATTTCCCTCCCCAGAGCACAGAAAGTGCTGCCCTTGGAGCCCTGGCAGCTCCAAAATCTTCTGTTTACCTCTAAATAACCCTAATTATAACCAGCCCTAAACCAACTATTTTCACAGCTTGAGCAGTTCCATCAGCTGGAGTTAAATGCTGGCTGCTCTCTGGCCATGAGTAGGAGGGGCATTAGAGCAGGAAGAATGACTCTTTTTGCTGAGAGTCACTAAATCCTCCTTAAATTATTTACTTATTAAATTACTGTTAATCCCTTCAGAGCTCTGAGAGGCCGTGGGAGCCGGAATGGGGGATGTTTGGAGAACAGTGGACATGAGACACTTCAAGTGGCACCAGAACAGTTCAGAGCAAGGCAGAAGGGCTGCCAGGTGGGTGAAAAAATTAAATAAAACAAAGAAAAAACCAAACCCAAACAATACCATTCATGCAAAGAGCTCTCACTCTGCACCAACTCCAAGGAATAAAGAACATGGAGTGGTGTGGGTTGGAAGGGACCTTAAAGTTCTTCTCATTTCAACCCCCCTAGCCCAGGTCGCTCCAGCCTGGTGGCACTGGCTGAGTTTTAACATCCCTCCCAACACAAACCATCCTGGGATTCCTAAAGCCCGGATTCCTCACCCATCTCAGGTCCTCAGCAAACCCAAGAACTCCTCCCTCGACATCAGGAGCCACTGGCAGCAAAAGCTCCTGCATTTCCCAGCACTCAGCTGGCTCTGGATGTCAGATTTACAGGCTGTTACTTTTATGGCTCTTCGAGAAAACAGCTGAATTTAACAGCTACACAGGGTGGGGGGGCTCCAATTATGGGTTTTAGTCATTTTAACACCAAAATCACAGCCTGGGAGGCAGGATTAGATGAAGGCACCTGCTGGGAGGGGGTTGGTGTATAAAAGTGAGGTGGCAGCCACAGTCACAGGATGTTTTCCATCTGAGAAGAGCTGAAGTTGCTCCACAACCCCTCTTGGACAGCAGGTAAGAGCCTGACAGCAATCCAGGAATCCAGAAATGCAGCATTTCCATCATTCTGCAGGGTAAAAATGGAGCTGTGACGCCTTTATGATGAGAAAAATGCCTTTTTTTTTTTTTTAATTCCCAGGATGGAGAAGTCCAAGCAAACCTTTGCCAGTGTCCTGCTGGTGGTGCTGTGGGTGGGAATGTGCCTGGCTCAGCACTGGTCCTTCGGGCTGCAGCCAGGAGGGAAGAGGAGCACTGAGAGCTCATTCCAACAGGTGGGTTCTGGGCTGGAAAACAGAGATTTGTGCATAAACACCCACAGATTTTTAAGCAGTAATTGGAAAATAATTGGTATTTAACAGCCTGGCACATAAAAAACAACCAGCAACCTTTAAAGACCTTGGGCAGCCACCTCCAAGGGAGAGATGGAGGCTTGAGGGCCAGGTTAAACCTGGTTTCATCCTCTCCCTAATTTCCAGCCAATGTTCTGATGAGGCTGTTTCATGGGCACATTCACCCCCTCCCCCCCCTTAAAATTCTGGCAACTGCCCCGTGGTGGATGGTCAGGAATTAAATAACAAAGCACCTGTGGAAGGTTCTGTCCATCAGTGGTTTGCCCATCCTTGCCAACACTTCACGTCCAGTCCCTCCCAGCATCCCTTCCAGCATCCCTGTTTTCAGCTGCTGCAGCCCTGAGGGGGGGAAAAAGGTGAATTTTAGTCGTGCAGTGGAACAGTTCCATCTTCACCTGTTAACTGGGCTAGGAGTTGCTTTGGCAGCAAAATCTCCTCTCCTGAAGGCTGTGCCACTTCCCACTCCAGATTGCAAAGGAACTGGAGAGACTGGGGGAGGTGCAGCAGTCCGAGTGCCCTGGATCAGCCCAGCATTCCAGGCTCAGGGATCTGGAGGAAGCAGTGGTGAGTGACACACTTCTTCTTTTACCACCAGGGGAAAATCAGGGGAAAACACAGGAGGGAAGAGGAAAAAAAGGTGCTGGAGGACGAGGAGGGAGAGGGGTGTGAGTTTAGTTCTCATGAGGCAACGCTGGCTCTGCCCTTATTGAAGGATCCCAGGAGGGTTTGGGGTGGAAGGGACTTAAAAGATCCTCTTGTTCCTAAGACCTGCACCATTCCCAAGTCCCTCCGGGGGCAGGGACACATCATTGTTGTGGCAGAGGCTTTAACTCCCTGCATTAAAACCAAACCAAAGCTGAGCACACTCTGCCTTAACCCAGGGCTCTCACAGCTGCTCAGCTTCAAAGGAATCCCTGCCAGCTGCAGGATCCAGCAGATGGAAGCTGCTGCTCCCCAAATCCCCCAGGCTGGGAAATGCATTTTCCAGCAGATGCTCTAAAGCAGTGACAGCACTGACAGCACTGACAGCACTGCTGCTCCTCCTCCTCCTCCTCCTGCAAGTTCCCTGCCACACAACGAGGGCTCTGTAAAAAAAAAACACTCTTTAATTAACACAGAAACACCTTGGCCTGGCCAGATGGTCGCCCTTTCCTGGGGAGTGTCCCTGAGACAGCCTAAAAGCTGCACCACTCAATCCCTGCTTCAGATTTAAAGGCCAAGAGCTGAAGTTTTGAGTGCTTGAAACGCTCCCCATCCTTTCCTGGAGGAGCCTGGCCCGAAACAGGCTCATCAACTCAATAATAACAAAGCAAGAGTCTGAATCCCACTGGATTTTCAGGTGGAAACCGCCTAAATAAGTATTATTTTAGGTCATTTAAACCCTGTTTGTACTGAACATGTATTGGAGTGGTGGTCCCTGTGTGGCTACCTGCAGATTGAAGGGCCAGCAACAATAATTTAGTTGGTTTAGGTGGTTTTTTTTTACTGCAAGAGACAAGGTTAGGCAAAAAAAAATATAAATATATAGCAGAGTAATGACAACCAGGATATTTGAAATCAGTCCTCACTGAAGGAAACCTGTCCTGTCTTTGCAGAGCTGAAGGGACAACCAACAACGAGGGAAAAAACCCTTAGGGTTGCTCAGAAACTTCTTATTTCTTGCTCCTTAATGACCCTGAGAACAAATTAAACCTTCTCAGAGGCAGCTTTTCCAACACATCCCTGCAGTTGCTCCAGGGATATCCTGCAGGCAAAGGGGAGTGGCTGGAAATGATCCACCCTCTGGAAAACCCACCCAAATTTACCCCCATCATTTTCCTGGAGGAGCTGGGAGGGAGCACAAAGCAAAACACACCTCACTGAGGCACCTCAGGGGATTAAAATAAATAAATAAATAAATAACATTTTCCCCCAGTTCATCTCTCCCCCCAAAACCCAAACTCTGAGAAGCAACAGAAATAAATATTCACCGTGCTGGTCACTCATTTTTGGGGCTGGAAAGGGCCATTCTGAGTGTCAGGCACTCTTAATCCTCCTTCCAGGCCACCTCACAGCGTGGGATCCTCCAAAATTCCACCATCCCAGTTATTCCTGCTCTTTAAAACAAGAATTTAGTGTGGGTGTTTTTTTACAGGAACGTGATGTTTACAGGAATATGATGTGTGTTTATAGAATATAATGTGTTTATAGGAATATAATGTCTATTTACAGGAATATAATGTGTTTATAGGAATATGATGTCTATTTACAGGAACATAATGTGTGTTTGCAGGAAAACCTGATGGAAGGGGAAGGAAGAAGAAAGGTTTAAAACCCAAATGGATTAAAAAAAAATCCACAATAAGGTTTCAAAGCCGGGTCAAACCCAGCTCCTCTTCACGTGGTCTCTGCTTGGGTCATTATGTGAATAAATGCTGTGAAGTTGCATTTCAGTTGTTGTGTGGATTATTTGGATTAAAAAGAGAGACATCCCCGGTGCAGAGGTGGGAGCAGCAGCACAGGCTCTGCTTTGGGTCCTGCAAGGAGAATGTGGCTGTGGTTAAATTTATTTCACATTTATAGACAAAAACACCGCCTGGGCTGTGGGTAAAGCAGCATCAAAACTTTGTTAAACCCTCCCCAAAAATAAACTTACTGCTGGGGTGGAACTCCCCCCACGCCTCAGGGTAGGTATGAAAGACTTTTCTGTGCTCTTTGGTTTGGTTTTTTCTTTACTGGTTCAGTCATAAAAACTACATTTATTTTAAAAAGGTATTTACAAACTTTACAGCAGTCAACACATTTAATAAAAAAAAAACAAAACAAAACATGAAAGTTTATACACCTTGCTTTACAGAGTTAGTGAGTTGGGGGCCCACAAGCTCCAAATTTTCCTGAATCCACAGCAAGGTTTATCAGGATTAAACCTTTATAACACCACAGTGAGAAATTATATTAATTAATACCATGTACCTGGATTTTGGAGCTGCTGAGGAACTTCCACCTCTGTTTAAAAATACAAACCAGATGGGAGAAGTAGATTCTGGGAGTGCCAAACTGTCCTAAAAGGTGCTTTAATTAATGTTAATGGAGCAGAATCAGGTGAACCTCACGTGCCAGTGCAGGGAAATCACATTATTGTTTAATTTTGATTGGAAAAGCTCGCCCTGATACATCAGAGAATTTGGTCTGCAACAAAATGTAGTAAAAATAAGAGAGTTTTTAATTTAAAAATCTTTAAAAAAATCAAAATAAGGCAGCAGAAATGGGTCAGGAATGTTTTCACTATATATATATATATATATATAAAATCAGTTACATTACAGATTTCAACTTCTTATTTCCATTTACAACCCAAAGAATAAATAAGGAGAGAAAATCTGAGGGGGAAATCACTGCAGGGCCAACTTCCCAGAGCTGCTCCCCCTTGGAATCCCTGTCCTTCCCTAATCCCATAATCCCCTATCCCACCCTGGATGAGAGCCTGGAACACCCTCCCAAGGAACTGAGCACAGCACGAGCCCTTTTAATTAAAAAGCTCCAGCAAACGAGGGCTGGACGTTTCTCCAGAGGGACAGAAAAATTAAAAAGCCTCCAAGACTGGAAGTTTGACACCAGCTTTGAACAGCAGGGCTGTGAGACGAGGATGAGGTTTGGTCTTCTCTGCAAGGCTGGGTGTCTGACTGGGAGATTTGGCGTTTAAAACCCTAAATTGGGTAAAAAAAAACAAACCTGATTTTTTGGTTTGATTTCTCATATGCAGAGAGCGTCATTATGGACCATCCTGCTCATTATTTTTTTAGCCCTCTGGTTTCCAACACACTGGAGGCATTTCCAAGAGCAGCCAATTCACATGAAAAGATCATTCTTGTTTGAAAAACTAAGTGGAGACACCTTAAATTGCCTGTGAAAATTAAACCTCAGAACTCAGGCAGGGACTGGAGCAAAGAGCAAACACCTAAAAAAAAAATAAAATAAAAAAATCAGGGCTCTGGTGGGGTTTCTCATAAATGTGGGCACTTAATTTCACTTAATTAAAATCAGTCAGATTAGTCACAAACTTAAATGTGTCACACACTTAAATGCCCAATTGCCTTTAAAAACTTGAGAGTTAAATGAAGGTTTTTTTGGGGGGGCTTCTGCCTGATCTCTCTCTTTTCTATTTCTTTCTCTCTCTCCACCTCACATTTACTGTTAAATCATAAATACAACACTGACTTTGGCACGTGGCCTTGTCTGCACCTCAATTCAGGCAGAGGCTCCTCCAATAATCAGATTTTAACAAGACAAAGAGCAGCCAGAACCAAAACCTCCTCAAAGTTACAGAGCAAAGTGGAAAGGGCATAAAGGGCAGCTGAAAAACTCTTGCCAAAGTAAAGGAGGTTTTTTTTTTTTTTTGCATGGATCGGTTCCCTCCTCCAGGAAAAACCCGAATTAACGACAGGGGCTGTGAAAGATGCACTTCAGAAAGCTCAGCCCACGTCCTGCTGCTCTGCCTGGAGCAAAATTCTCCCAGGAAGTCAGAAAAGTTCTCCTTCAAGTGAAGTTTGGGAGGATCCTCGAGTTCCCCTGAGCAGCAGCAGCAGCAGGAGGAGGAAAGTGGTTTCAAAGTGGGGAAGAAGTGGACAAAGATTGAAAGGCAAGAAAACCCCCTGTGGTTTTCCAGTCAAGCAGTGTCTGTGTCCCAGAACATAACGAGGAGCTGACACCTCCTCCAGTGCTCCAGGGAAGGGGGGGGGACCTGGCCAGGGTGTCCAGGAAGGTTTCCAAGATTCCTTTGGGAATCCAGAGGCAGCTGTGAGTGTGTGCAGCAAACGGGCTGTGAATGGATGTGATGTGACTGCCCTGCAAGCTCTGAAACATCTCCAGCCTGGGGGTGATGGCAAGGCAGGAGGGCTCTGGGATGGAGACAATCTGCCTGACAGAGCCAGCAGCTCCTGGAGTCACTCAGGAGTCACAGGAATGCAGGAGAACAGGAGAAAGGACAACTTCAGTCTGAACAAAACCCCCTGGGCCTTCACTGGGTTGGCTTTTCCCTGAAAAACTTCCCTGAGGTTTAACAAACTTCCTGTTTTTGTTGCATTGGGAACCATTTCTGGCTGGGATGAAACCCATTTCAGTCAGGTGAGGTGCAGTGGCCTTCAAAAAACCCCCAACCCGAGAGTTAATCCTATTTCCTACTGGGAGCAACATCCTCAGCAGGCTTTTAGTGGCTCCCCCCAACCTGTCCCAGAAATCCAGAAATTAAATGACAATTTACAGTGAATAAGTAAAATAATTCCCTAGAAGAGGAAGCCCATGGCAAAATCTTCCTTACTAGTGATGACAAATTAACTCCCAACAGCCAAAGTTTTTATATAAAAAGTTCAGAAATTTGGATCCAAATTCCTCTTTGTGAGTTTTAAGAAATCTCTGAAGTCTCCAAGAAGTTCCAATCTAAACTTTGCAGGCAAAACTCTCGTGTTTCCCGAGTTCCACAGCGAAAGGGAGCAAGAAGAAGTCACATTTTTGCCAATCCCTGGGAAAAATAACAGCCAGGACATGAACTGGGCAGTCCCAGAGGCAAAACCCTCTGCCTGAATGGGACAAGAGAATAATTCTTACCACTCAAGGAAACCTCCAACTGCTCTTGCTTTTCTGCAGCTTTGGGGTGACGTATAAAGACATGAGAACCTAAAATCATGTTGATTTTTCTCTGTGCAAGTAGAAAGACATCCAGGCAGAGCAGGGAATAAATGATTAAAGGAAAAAATTAAATAGATTTAGTTAGATTCCCCCCCCATCCTCAGAGGGAAGAAAAGAGTGGAGTGATCCGAGCAACAGGAAAGGAGGTGGTTAATTGTCAATATTTCACATCCCAGATCTAGAAAGGCTCCTTGAAGTCTAGTCTGTTAAAAACCTGGATCAAGGGAGGTTCTAAACCAAGATGCAAGAACTGCCACAAATGTGGGCAGGGGATAAAAAAAGAGAATTCCTTTTTTGTGTGTGTGTGTGAATTTGCCTGGCCAAAGGCAAGGTTTGAGGAGATGATCAGAGGTCAGGATGGAGAACTGGGTGTGCACATCCCATCCTCCCCAAATTGCTGGGCCCAGTCCAGCCCCTGGTATCAGTGCCACTGGGACCAGTATAATCCTGGGACCAATGCAACTGGGACCAGTGCAGCCCCTGGGAAAGGTGCAGCTTCTCTTCATCTCTTATTTTCACAGGAGAGACCTTTTATATCCTTTTAAAAAGCACAAAGATGAAGTTTTGTCCCAAGTCCAGGACAACAGGAATGGACCACGCAGGGGACAGAACTCAGGGAGGATCTCAAGTGCTCTGTGGGGTTAAAAAAACCAGTGAAATCCTGACAAAGGACTGGGGAACTCCCCACACCTGACAGCTCAGGAATCCCAGCAGGAATGGCTGGGATCTGCTCCACTGCATGGGATCTTGGCTCATCAGGGATCACAAACACAGCTAAAACTCACATGGAAACACTGCTGGACTCATCTCCCACTGCTGAGCCTCCCTCTTGCATCAGACCCCCGGTGCAAATCATTCCTGGGGCACATTTACACATTTACAGCTGCTGGAAGTGCAGCAGTGAGCAAACTCAGGGCAGACAGCAGGAATTCCAGCAGGGATTAGTGTCACAGGGAGAGCAGGGCTTAGGGAACACAGTCCACAACAGTTCCTTTTGGTGTTTCCCCAAGGAAAACTCCAAGGACAGGGAAGCAGCCACTGCACCCTGGGGGTTGGATCCTTCCTCACTGCAGCCCCTGCTCCGAGGACACAACGCTGGATTTCCTGGTTTTTGGGGGTGGAGGGGGAGGTTTGGCTTCCCTCCTGCTGGGCAGCGGTGGAGCAACCTGAGAAGGAGGAAAACACACAGAAAAATAAACCATTAGTGGCACGTTGGAGGCGTTTTTGCTTCCCACCAGATGAGAGGATCCAAAGGGTCCCGATGCTCCTCTCGGGGCCAAATCTCTGGATTCAGCCTCCCTGACAGGGGCAAACAAGGACACATCCCCAGGAGCTGACATGTTTTAGTTGTTAAAATATGCTTCTAAATACATTTCAGTCCATCCTGACCTGCAGCCCAACTTTGCCACTTGTTCCTCTGTCCCACCCTTTGTCTCTCGGTACAGTGGCCATGAATAAACCCATTTCCTTCCACTTCCAAAAGTGGATTATTTTTATCTTTGCACCAAGCAGGGGCCAAAAGGATGTAAAAAATGCTTCCAAATCAGAAGGGTGATAAAAGGGGAGCAAGTGAAGTTCTAATCAAACAAGCCACATCCTGCCTGTCTGGCACAGGGGGCTTTGCAGGATGTTGCTTATTCTTGCAGAAAACTGCATTAGTAGGTTCTTTTTAGCTGCTCCTCTGCCTGCTTTAGGGGGCAGCCTGTAAATAGATGAGATGTGAAAGGCCAGGTGAGCCAGGAGCTTGTGTGGCCCCACCACTTCTCAGCCCAAACCCTTCAGAAAAGGCTTTACAACCTCTCTTTGCAGAAGAGACAAATCCTTTTCCTCTGGCTGCAAGCCAAGGGCAGGGTTGCAAGCCAGGACATGTTAATTATTAGTTTCCTTACAAGACTCAAGGGGAAGAGGCTCTTTTATTAATCCCCTGGAAAACAAGCAGCTCTCACAGCACATCCCCAGGGCTGGAATAGCTCTGCCAGTCACACCAGCACAGCCAAAATCCCAACCAAGGGAAGGGCAAAGCACAAAACTCAGATTATCCCCAAACTTCAGATTATCCCCCACACTTCTTTCTCAGGCCCAAATCACTGCACTGTTTCACACTGATCATGTTTGGGAAACTTTTCCATCACGGTGCTTGCTCGTTTTCTCTTCCCACCCCCACACACCGTTTTCCTGACCAAGGGCAACACAACTCCCACTTGGAAAAAAAAAAAAACCTGGAAAAAGGGACTTCACTCGACATCCTTCTCCTGGAGTGAAAAAAACCACCCCTTTTCCTTCTTTTGTGGTTTCAGGGAGTGAAGCAGTGAAATGATTAGACAAGACTCAAAGCAGCACCACCCTCGAAAAGCAGCTCGGAAAATTCCACCGGTGCCTCTTTCTCCAAAGCTGTTTTCCAAAAAAACCCAAAAAAATAAAAACCAATCCCCAAAAAACGTCAGCTCTCATTTCCTCACCTCTGCAGAATTCCTGGGGTTGCTGTTCTCGTAGGGTTTGCTTTTGGGTGGAGGGGGGGGTGGGGTTGCCAACCCGTCAGCCTGCAGCGAGGGGAAACCTGAAAGCAACAACGATAATGAGAGAGGACACTGAAGTGGGTGGAAAAAAATAAAAAAGGAGCAGGAAATGGGACTGAACACGTCGAATTTTAAAGGAGATTCGTTTAATGTCTCCTGCTTTCCATCTGCCAGCAGCTCTCTGCTCTTTAGCAGCTAAACCTGAGTGGATCTGCTGCAGCCACAGTTGTGTCTCCCTCGAGTTCCAAATGCCCAGAAGAGCCTTTTCCCCTCCAGCAGATGGATGTGAGCTGATGTGAGACCTGCAGGGAGCTGCATCCATTAGCACATCTGCTGCTTCCACCCCAGAACTCCCTCCCTTTGAACTCCACCTGATGGAGGAGATAAGGACCAGAACTTCAGATCCGGAGTATTCCTGACTTTGTTTGTGTTTCTGGTTGTCTCCTCACCCCTCCTATGAATTTTCTGGTTAAATCCCCTCCCAGCAGTTTTATGCTGCTTTGGTTCACTAATTACCTACACTGGATCCTGAATTTACATCCCCACACCAACTTCTGCTCCTTCAAGAAACTTTTGCACCAGCTGTTCACTTTGCTAAATCTTCAAGACAAATTCCATCTCCTGTGGGTGGAACTTCCCCAGCTCCCTTTCCAAGCTGCAGAGCAAGTTCTACCAGAACTTTTTTATTCCACCACGTGATGGGAGTTTGTTCATGAAATAACAAAGCCCTCGGGGCTTGCCCAGGGTATTCAGGCCTCGAGCTGATCAGAAAATACCACCTGGGATTGCTGGGGTTCCATCCTGTCATTTATCCTGACTTGATTTATCACCTGCATGTGATGTTCACCTTGAGGTTTAATTTATCTTCCACAAGTCATAGAATTCTGGAATGGTTTGGGTGGAAAGAGACCTTCAAATCCATCCCTTGCCACGGGCAGGGACAGCTTTCCACCAGCCCAGGTTGCTTCAACTTGGCATTGGACACTCCCAGGGATGGGGCAGCCACAGCTTCTCTGGGATTTCCATCCCAGCTCCTCCCCACCCTCACAGGGAAGGAATTCCTTCCCAATATCCCATCTAACCCCGCCCTCTGGCAGTTTGAAGTTGTTCCCCCTTGCCCTGGCCCTACAGACCTCTGTAAAAAGCCTCTCTTCATCTTTCTTGTGCAACTCAGTACAGAAGAAATCAAGAAACCAACTGAAAAAGATAAGACCTGCTCTCTGGAATTCCTCCAGCACCCTCATTTTGACAAGTGACATCTCAGTGACCAGCAAATACAAAGCACTTACTCTGTGTCCTGGGGGTTTTGGGGGTGATGGGAGGTGGGCTGCAAGTCGACTGCTGCAGTGAGGAGCCCTGGAGCAAAGTCAGTCTGTTGTCTCCCAGCTGGAGACTCTTTGGCCTTTGTGCTTTCCCTGACGTGCCCTGCTTGGGAGAAGGACAAACAAACCCATCAGAAGTCAGCCAGGTAATATCAGCCTGGTTTTAGTGGCCTCAGAGTATTAACTAAGGCAGGAGGGTGTCAGGCTGAAAAGCTGCTGCAGTTCTGTGGAGAAATCTGGCAGGGCAGAGGGAGTGAAATCTTTCCAAGATGTAAAAAACTGAATTTCTGGGTGCAGGTCAGGGCTGCTGGTATTTTAAGCCCAAATCTGCTGGACACACAGCAAGCCTTTGCTTCCCTCTGGCTCTGCAGCTCCCAAACAGCTCAGCCAAGAGCTGCACAAAAATCATGTTGTTTTTTTTTTTCCTCCCCTGGAAAGCCTGTCAGTACCCAGTGACACCAGCCCAGCTCCCCTCTTAATAAACATCCTGCAGCCTCCAAGTGCTTGGCAGCAGCAGCACCACTCAGATTTGATGAGAGTTCCTGAAAATGCAGGACCTGCTCCTGCCAGATTCCGCTGGGAACTCGAGAGAGAGAAAGGGAAACACAAGAATTTGTGTTTTCTCATTATTTACACAGTCTGTGCTCAGTCAGATTGGTATCACTGAGCTGAAATGCTCTGGGTGCCCAATCCTCTCATCCTCTGACAGCGTGGCACGGTCTTTGCATCCATCAGGATAACATTCCAAGGTTCTACAGCTTCACCTGTGGGCTGAAACTAATCCCTGAATCCCACTGCCAGCCCTCCTGCCCCACAGCTCCAAGATATTCCTCCTCACAGCCTCCTGTGGGGGGAGAGATTCCCTTTCACTCCTCTCCTGCAAATCATCTGCTGCAGGAATAACCACTCTGCCTCCAGGTAGGAGGGTCTGGAGCAAAGCACAGCCTGGAACCAGCATTTCCAAGTCCCAGGCTGGTGACTTAAGGACCAGCCCATCTTTTTTCACCTCCCCTTGCTCCTCACCTGGCAGCACATTTGATTTGGGCAGCGGTGCTGGGTGACAGCAGCTGAACATCTGGCCTGGCAGCTGCATCCCTGAGCGGGACAGCAGGGATTGCTCCAACCCAAACAGTCCTGCAGGGTGCTGAGAGCTCCCCACAGGAACTCTGACCACCAGTGGGGCAACTGAGCACCTCCAGGAAGCACCAGAGCCTCCTGTTCCCACTCTGTCCCTCCAGCCAAGCTGCCCCTGAGGCCATGACAGGGATTTTCCACAGAAAAAAAAATAAAGCATGGCTCAGATGACCAAAGCTTTTGGTATTTGAACCCCTCCCAGTGTTTGGAGCAGTTCCCAACCAGCAGAGCGTGGCTGGAGGAGATGGGAACGCTCTGATCCTCCTGCTGGGGGTTTTGGTGTCGCTGCCACCCTTATTGCTTTACCATTCTGGAAGTTGTTTCTGCTTCTGGCTCCTTCTCCACGATAACCTGAGACTTGCTGATGCTCCACTCCTTCCTCTTGAGTTTGCTGATCCTGTTGTCACCCTCATCTTTCGCTGGCAGCTCCTCAGCTCTGGAAGATGTCGATATTCTTCTCTCCAAGAGAGGCTCCAGGATGGATCTGTGGCCCCAAAAAAGGGGAAAAAAAACACGTGTCCATCAGGCCTTTCAAGGGCTGCTTGTTAAAGAGCTGCCATCTCTTGGTTTGCACGGGATTATTGGGGGAAACTGAACGATGAACATGGGTTTTTCAGCCAGATTTGTGCTGGGTTACCCCAGAAATCCTGAGTATTGTGTCTCAGGTCTAATGAGATCTGTAAAATCACGTTCTGGGATGTGTAACAAAGAATGTGAAGTGTGATCTGCTCGCAGAGGGAGCCAGACCTGCCTTTTATGCTGCCCTTGAGCAAGTCCCCTAAACCCTCTGCTTATCACAGATGTAAATGAAATGCACAGAGAGGTAAAACCAGGGAGTGTTTCCACGTGTGGAAACAGCTCCAATTCCACGGCTGCAGCCGCAAACAGGGGTGGAAACAAGTCCTGTGTTGTGACTTACTCACACCAAAATAAACCTCTCACACCTCCCATTTCCCTGGGAAAGCAGAGACAGTGTGTGTGCCTGAAACACACCCTGGTCAGTGGCAGGCAGATGATTTGGGCAGTGGGTTGGACTCCCAGGATCGCCCCTATCCGTGCCCCAAACTCCCCACCCATAAAACATTTCCAAACCAAAATCCCTGCAGCTCAGGGGGTAAATGCTCTCACTGACCCATCCGAGCCTGGCCTGGAGGAGGTGCTGTCAGACGAGGTGGAGGACGTGGAGACCACAGAGGAGGCCACAGAAGTGACCGAGAGCCTCCTGAGGGTGGAGGACATGATGTAGGGCAGCACCACGGAGCCCGACCTGCTCGGCTTCCTCTCCGTCAGGCAGGGTGGCTGCAGAGGCAAAACCAGGGCTGAGAATCCACACCCCACCAGTTGGGGTTGGAAAAGGGAGGTTTGGGATGCTCTGGAGGCAAAAGGCAGGCTGGCTCACCAGGGTGATGACCCCGTACTGCTTCTCCACCTTCCTCCTGAGCTCCTTGAAGCAGGTGCTGAGTCGCTCGTGCAGCGGCTTCAGCTGCTCCGTCAGCTTCTCGCCGTGGATCCGGATCCCCTCGGCCAGCAGGGGCATCTGCAGGGGAAAACAAAAGCTTCCATGGGCTCAAAAATAGGACCATTTTCCCCATTTATGTCTATGGTGCCAAGTGGAAGGCATCGCTGCCCGTGGTAGGGGGGTGGGATGAGATGGGCTTTAAAAAGTGTTCCCCCACCCCCATCAACCCAAACCGTTCCATGATTTTCCCTCCTCAAGGCAATTTTCACCGCCCTGAGGGTCAAACCACACCCATTCCAGCGCTCACACCAGCAGGTCTGATGATTTCATCAAGAGGGAACGAGATATTTGGATCCTGGGGAGGGAAAAGCCCCCAACCCACCCCTCGGGCAGCACAAAGCACGTGGAATATTTTGGGTCACGTTTTTAGGAGGCAGGGGTTTCCTCAAAATAAAAAAAAGCCACTGTGCTCTGCTCCAGGTTCTCTGAACAAAAAGGATGAGGAGAAAACACCTGCCCATCCCAATCCTTCCCCAGTTCCGTACCTGGATGGCGATTTGTTGCTTCAGCAGCTCAATTTTCTCTTGATCTTCAGGATGTTCCTGAAGATATTTCTCTGTGAAAAAGGCCTGAAAGCAAAGAGAGAGAAGATGACAAAGGGGACACAAACCCCTCCCTGCTTTCCCAGGGGGAGATCCCTGTAATTCAGAAGCAGTTTGTTGCCATTATTCCTCCTATTATGCCAGATTTTGCCCTCTCCCTGCCATCAAGCTGAGGGAAAAGGAACCAGGGTTATTTGTTGAGAAATAAGGGGGAAAGGGGCTTTTTTTGTTCAAAAAAAAATGTGTTTTTTTAAGTGAAACACACATTTTAAGAAGTTACTTCACCAGAAAGGTCTTACTCAATTCCAGCTCCCTTCTCATGACCCAAGATTGATTTGAATAACCAAGGTTCAATTCCCAGGATGTGCTGCAGTGTCCCATTGAAAAGGATCACAATTCCTGGTTGGAAATACTGAATTTTCCTTTTTTTTTTTTTTTTTTTCCCCCTAGATAAAATCCCTAATAATTTTTTAATTTGGCTTTGAAATGCAGCATCCCTGAACTATTTCAGTGGGTGTTTTTTTCCCTTCTGTGTGCCATTAACTGGACTGTGTGGACAAGTGTTTATAGGGCTGGGGGATGATCCCAAAAAAGAGGTGAGCCTGGGAAAGGGTTGCTGGGGAAGTCCCAAGAGGAATTGCCTTGAAAGTGGTCAATTATTGCAAGAAGGAAGATGTTAAAAACGCAGACTTTGGCTTTTTGGCTCCAATGAAACAATTAAAACTCAAGATTTGAGCCACCCACAAAAGCCAAATGTTCTGATCTCCAGCTGAAACAGGAAAATATGAAACCAGAAATGAGTATTTCCAGATGTGGTCGCTGATACTTCGCGTTTCCTCGTTTTAACTGCCTTCCCACTTTCGTAATTCTAAGCTCTCTGTCAACCTGAATCCATAAAATGGGAGGATCCAGGGCCAAATTCAGCCTGGCAAAGCGTGCAGCTCCTCTGGAAGGAGCAGAGTCAGACCCCAGACAAATCAGCCCCTCTCCCCCATTTAACTTGTGCACTTCATTCCACGAGGCTGCCACACATCTGAGAACAATTAGATGTGTTTTAACACCATCTCTTCAGTTTAGGGAAATAAGCACTAGATTTTTGTGCTGGGATCGTCACTGGGAATCAACAGCTTAAATTAAATATCAAAAAAAAAAGAAAGGATCTACACTGGGGTCAGCTGGATAAACCTGGGGGAAAAATACTGATTTTTTTTCCAGAATATTTGCTTTTTTGCTTGGAAAGGAGGCCTGGGAGAGCTGGATCATCCCCCTCCATGGCAAATCAGAGCACTACAACTAAACACTCCAAAGGTTTTCCACCCTGTAGGCAGTGGGAATCTCTGCTCTTCGTTCTTTTCTGCTCTCCTTTGAGCTCTGAACACACACAGAACACGGGATGTGCCATGCCTGGGGAACAGCTGGAAACTCAGCTGAACCTCCCAGGTTTCAATCCAGGCCCTTCAGCACTGCAGAGGTCACAGAACTGAGCTGCACATCAGAGGAACATGGAATGCTTTGGGTTGGAAAGGATCTTCAGGATCAATTCAATCCCACGGGCAGGGACACCTCCCACTAAACCAGGATGCTCCAGGCTGGCCTTGGACACTTTCAGGGATCCAGAGGAAGCCACAGCTTCTCTGGGCAAGCTGTGCCAGGCCCTCCCCACCCTCCCAAGCAAGAATTCCCTCCTAATATCTGATCTAAACCCACCCTCCTACAGCTCAAGGCCATTCCCTGTGTCCTGTCCCTCCATCCCTTGTCCCCAGCCCCTCTCCAGCCCCCTGCAAGGGGCTCTCAGGTCTCCCTGGAGCCTTCCCTTCTCCAGGTGATCCCCCCCAGCTCTCCCAGCCTGTCCCAGAGCGGGGGGGTTCCCAAATGTGGGCAGGACCTTCTCATAGTTGGTGTATCCGCCCATCACGGCCGGGTCCACGATGCCGTTGAGGAGCATGGACAGGGGGTGCACAGGGAGGCTCCTGTCCCACATGTGCTGCTGGACAATGTTGGTGATCTTCTCGTTGGTCAGCTCCATGGTTTCGATGGCATTCTCCAAGGGGCTGATCTCTTCCTGATGGAGGAAACAAACAAAAAACCAGAATAAACCATGTTAGAATAATCAAAATATCCTTCCCTGGGAGGGTGGGGAGGGGCTGGGATGGGATTCCCAGAGAAGCTGTGGCTGCTCCTGGATCCCTGGAAGTGTCCAAGGCCAGGTGGGAGCAACCTGGGCTGGTGGGAGGTGTCCCTGCCCATGGCAGGGGGTGGAATGAGAAGCCCTTTAAGGTCCCTTCCAACCCAACCCATCCCGGGATTCCACAATTCTATGATTTATTTCCTCTCCACTGAACACAAAACTAAGGAATTGAAGTTGTGCCACATCCAGTGGTGGAAGGACTGGCAATCCTAACACTTCCAAGGGATTCCTGGAGGGATTGGAGGGCAGGAGATCCAGCCCCCCCCCCAGGCAGAACTCACCGTGGTGACCTGCTTGACCTCAAACCACTTGAGGATGCCTGGAAATGAATAGGCTGTGGTGTAGGTTGTCCTCTCTATCCACATGGTCTAGTCAGAGAAGGGAAACAAACAAACAAACAAAAAGCCAAAGTGTAAGGAAAATCTTTGCAAAGATTGCAGTGCCTTTTTTTTTTCTCCTACATTTTAATCCCAAACCTCCCTGGCCACAGGTGGGAGGTGGGGGGGGAGAAAAGTGACAGTTTTGGTCAAAACACCCCCAGCAAAACAAACAAAAGGCAAAGGACTCACAGCAAACTCGTTGTCTGGATCTTTCTCTCCTTTCCTGACAGGTCTGGAGTGTGTGAATTGCTGCACCTCGTTTGCTCTGTAGTAGCTGGAAAGTAGCAGAGGGAGTGCTGAGTTCCTTCACCTCCCACCCTCCTTTGCATAAATATTCAGCTCTTTCTTCTCCCAGCAAAGTGTAAACTGGATGTTAAACAAATTTACACAGGGCACAAAGGCCTGGGCTCAAGTTAGTTGGGGAAAATACAACAGGAATGTTGAGGGAAAAGGAAAATTAATTACTTCAGGATCTGTTCAGGAACGGGTTTATCTTTGTAATTAGGTGGCAGGTTCATCACAGGCTTCACAATAAAGCACTGCACATCTGAGCAGCTCCAGTTAAGGCTGAAAAACCAGGAATCCTTTTGGCAAAACAGGGAGGGAGAGAAATACCCTTCCTGTTGTCAGCAAGTGTCAGATCCTCCCCAATTCCCCGTGCTCCTGTCGTGTTTGAAGGAAAACATTAATTCACCACAAAGCCCGAAATTAAAACCAAGGTCTGCCTAACACAACAATGACCTGGGCACTCAGATTCCTCATCTTCTCAGGTGGTGTTTGCAGGAGGAACCTGTCCCAGATCCAAGCCCTGCAGCTGCTCCCCTTTCCTCGGGGGGCTGTGCCAGAGACCTGGAACCAAAACACCCCCGAACTTTCGGCGGAGCTCAGATCTGGATCCAAACCTTTGCAGTTCGGATTTGTTGAGCCAAAAAAACATTCCAACAAACACAAACAGATGCAAAGGAAGCAGCTGAAACAAAGCAGCGACGTGAAGAGGCATTTCTGATACCAAGTTTGGTCTTGAGTGAGTTTTCATTTCCTCTGTGGATTTCGGGCTTGGCAGGATTATTGCAAGGGAAGCATCTGGTATCATCACTGCTGGAGCTGGGCCTCTGTGCACAGGGTTTTAAGGCCAAAATGGACCATCAGATGCTCCAGTCTGGCCTGTTTAATGCAGTAACTTGGTTTTTTTCCTGCTGTTGTTCAGCCAGGAGCAACCCTGACAGTGACTGGAGCCACGAGCAGGGATGGGAGGCATCTGCACCAGCTTGCACTTGGTCATGCTCACAATTAAGAGGCTCTGAAGCCTAGTGGGGTGCTGTGACACAGCCTGGAGCTCCACCAGCAGAGGGGTAAAATAATAAGAATTAAAAAAATAGTAAGAATGAAAGAACCCTATAAGAATAAAAACCAGTAAGAATAAACCTAGTAAGAATAGAAACCAGTAAGAATAAAAAAACCAATAAGAGTTGTTCACCCAACAACTCTCACTGATATAATCACTCTGGCTATCCCTATTTTCCTGCCCAGTGCCTGCCTTCAAACTGCTCCCAGAGCAATAATCTTGCTTATTATTGCTGGTGACCAGTTCTAGGCAAGAGGAGGCTCTTGAACGTGCCCAAAACGCATCAGAACCAAAAGATACACTGTTTAGGAGAAGCCTTGATGTCTTCCCCAGGAGGGGCAGTGCTGGTCATCTTCTCAGCACTGGGGAACTGTGTCAGCAGCTTCAGGTTGAAATCCTCCCTCCGCTCGTACTCTTTGCCACGGTAGATGAAGATTTTATTCTGTGGGGAGGAGACGAGGAAAAGGAATGAGAAGGAGCTTCTGGGCACACCCAGAGAAGTCTCAGGGGTCTCTGGTTTATGTGAAGGGATGGGTTTTAGGTTCAACAGATAGAAGAGGTGAGGGAAGAAACGGGATGGAGCGAGAGCACAGCAAGGTCTGGCAAAGGGAACCTCAGATTTGTCTGCAAAATACACAGGGAATCAGAGAATAGTTGGAATGAGAAGGGATCCTTCAGTTTGAATGAAGAGGGATCCTTCAGTCTGAATGAAGAGGGATCCTTCAGTTGGAATGAAAAGGGATCCTTCAGTTGGAATGAGAAGGGATCCTTCAGTTGGAATGAAAAGGGATCCTTCAGTTGGAATGAGAAGGGATCCTTCAGTTGGAATCTCCCTGTGCACACACAGGAGTTTTCCCTGTCCCACTCCTGACTCCCTTCACTCCACCACCCAAATGTCCAGCCCTGGCAATTTTTGCTCCACCAGCCCATGGCCAATTATTTCTCCAGCCTGTCCACCTGCCAGTGGTGCTTCCTGGAAGGGAAAAATCCAAAACCATGCCCTGGAGGCAAAAGCCTTCCATGCCATTCCATCACAATTAACACTCTCCTCTTTCATGAAGTTTGGCTTCCACTGAAGGCCAGAACTTCCAACAGCTCCAGCCTGAGAATGTAAACATTCCTGAATTTTCAGTGACAGCCAGGAATATTTTCTGGCATGCCCATGAACTGCCAATGCTCATCACCTGCCTCAGACAAGAAGCACCTTTGCACTTTAATTCTTCTCTCTGGGACAAACTCTCACTAATGGAATGATCCACCTCTGAAAATTAGGCTGAAAAGCTACAGGATAAACTCTTCCCAGGCTAAACATTTTCTGAGAGCAACCATCTCATGGCAGAGGGCACGAATACAATCTGTTTAAACCCATGTAAGAACAAACCCTACTGCAATATTCTATTAAAGCTGGTAACACCCATAATTTCATTTCTTACTTGTCCCTTTTTAGACTCTGAAATGCTCTGAAACGCTTGAGGGATTTCAGATCTGTCAGCGGCATTCGAAGGAAAAGGAGTTGGGCACTGAATTATCTTGGAATCTGTGGAAGAGCTGGGACTTTTGGGGTCCCCAGCACTGCAAGAACGGAGTGTTGATGAGCTCTTACCCGGAGGAAGGAGGGGAAACCCTGCCCGTAGTAGCCAACAGCAAAGTACTCCGGCTGAGGCCTCATTGCCTTCATGATATTCTCGTAAAAAGTAGCTCTTTTTTTCTGGAAAATAAAAAAAAAACAAAACAAAACACCAACTTTTTCAGCCTGGAGGGCTCCAGGACACTACCAAGCTGGAGCTCCCAGCAGCTCTCCCTGACAGTTGCCTTTTTCATCTCCAGCCTCTCCTACTTGTCCACCGACTTGATTAAATATTTGGTTTGTCTGGGACCAGAATCAACTTCATTTCCTGGCTTGCAGACGTGAGAACAATGGTTTTCAGGATTCCAGAAGGATACTTGAAATCCTCAGCTACTGGAGAGCCAATTAAATATAAATATAAATATAAATATTCTGCAATGGTGACAAATGTCAGAGAACTGGCAGAAATCGAACTGGGCAGATGATCCTCATGTGAAAGAGCATAAAGACCATCTGGTTCCACCTTTAACTACTAAAGAATATTATTCAGAACCAAGAGGTTTTCTGTAGCCCTGTGTTTTTACACAGTAGTTTCAGCACAGAAACAACGAGGTGGGGAGATTCAGGGAGCCTGAAAACACACCTTGCAAACGCTGCTTTATTTGATTTCACAGCCAGACTTCTAAACATCTGCCTGTGGTATTGCCATGCAAATCAGGAGGGCAAAACCTGCTTAAAAAAACCCTATAAAAACATCATTCTGATGTTAAACTTTACAAAGCCATGGTGGGTTATGTTGGTTTGTCTTTAACATAAACGTGGTTTTGGCCTGTCCTGCTCAACAATATTAATTTAAGCAGTTGGGAGTTATGTTGGTTTGCATCTAAAATAAATGTATTTTAGGTTTATACTGCTCAACATTAATTTAAGTAGTGAGGAGACTGCAGAAAATGGAGGGAAAAAACCAAAAAAAGGTCTTACCAGGAGATTGCCAAGCCCCTCGTAATCAAAGACCTTGTTCTCATACATGTCAGCCAGCTCCTTGCTCAGCTGGATGGCTTTTTCCCACATCTCCAGCGAGGGTGAAGGGAGGCAGGAGGGGGGGAAGAGAAGAAGAAAAGGACAAATAACATAAAAGACTGAGTTAAAAGCATCCATTACCACAGACAGGTGAACAGAACTGCAGCTGATTTTCAGCCAGGCTTGTGCTTTCATGCCCTGCCAGCTTTTCCCCCTCCTGTGATGTGCATTTTTGGCAGCAGTTGTCACAGCCACAACAGAGCTGTTCATCTGCAGGTCTGAAAGGCATTTACAGAGTGAGGTTTCCACTGCAATCCTGAGGGGGAAATCTGAGGCACAGGGAGGTGCAAGGACGAGTCCAGACAGGGAAGAGAAGCCCAGGTGGTCTCTTCCTACAGCAGCACTTCCAACAGGCTTTGTCTCATCACAGAATCATGGAATGGTTTGGGTTGGAAGGGATCTTGAGGATCATTTAATTCCACCTTCCACCAGCCCAGGTTGCCCCAAGCTGGCCTTGGACACTTCCAGGGATCCACAGCCTCTCTGGGAATTCCATCCCAGCCCCCTCACAACCCTCCCAGGGTAGAATTCCTTCCCATTATCCAACCTAAATCTCTCATCTTGCAGCTCAAATCCATCACAAGGAGCTATCTGGCCCCACCTCTCCCAAGTGCAGCCACACAGGATGGGGACCAGCAGACGAGCCCAAAACCTGACACCTCACCCAGGAAAAGAAGGAAAACACCCCTTGTTCTCCCTAATACCCAGTTATCCTGAACAGGGCTAATTTTGCAGATGCTCCTCAACCCCACAAGGAAACAGAAGGTTCAAGTATCAGCAGGACAAGCTTCAAAAGCCTGGTGTGGAATCCCACCTGCTGTCCCCCTGTCACCAACCTCAGCCAGTGACATCCACTGACCAGTGATTAAACACTAAACACAGCCTGGAGCCAATTTTAGAGCCGGTATTTGCTGTCACAGCAGTGTCAGACACTCACTTTGCCCCTGTCGAAGAAGGAGATGATTTCTTGGTAGAGTTTTTCCTTGAGCTCCTGCTGGGAGTAGACGTAGAAGCTGTCCCTCTGCATGAGGTGGGGGGCACAGGGCTTCTCAGACCACTGTTCAGAGGGGAGAAAGGGGAAAAAAACCTGCTCATTTTCAGATGAATTAACCCTTACAGTGGCTCCTACATCCAGGACAAATCACCATCAGTGCAAAGGAAGCTTTGAAGCGACACAAGCTGAGGCATTTTCTCCCAGCTCCCAATTATTAATAACTGATACTAATAACGTTTCATTTTATTCATTCAACTGCTGTGCAACTTGAAAAATTCACGGAGCTCCTCGACGACCTTTGGGATGCAAAGTCACGTTAAAAAAAAAAGAAAAGGGGGAAAAAAATAAAAGAATTGTGTAACCTAAGCTGTTTGCACTTTGTTTAAAAACCCCAAACCCCGGCAGTGGGATTTCAAAGTGGGCTTGGGGGGCTACCTGGAGCAGCTCTGCATGGAGCAGCAGGGTGTGAGCTGCCTCTGTGAAGTTCTCACAGTCCGTGTGCAGGTCCCGGAGCTTGTAGAGGTACCTGGAGGAAGGAGAAGCTGCTGGGCCTGGGGTGGGAAGGAACCCCTGGGCAGGACACCAAGGGAACACACAGGCTCTGGGCAGGACTCTGGAGGGGAGCAACCTACCTGATGTAAATGTCCTCTCGCTTCTTCTCCTTGTAGAAGTTCTGCCAACAGCGGGAAAAAGTCAAACTTACAACGTAAAGCACCATAATCATCCCTAGACAAGTAACCTGAGCATCAGGTTTAGATGTTTTAAACACCTCTAGTGCCATTTTGGCTGCTCAGGTGTATATATCCCTGGTTTTGATGTTTTAAAGATGTTTGCTGTCATTTTGGCTGCTTAGGTGTATCTATAAATCCCTGTAATCATCCTTTCTAATACAAGGTGGGGTCACCATCACCTCCAGAAAAGGGGCAAATCACACAAAATGACTTGTCCTGAGCTCTTGGCAGTGGAACAGGGACCCAAACTGTCAACTAGCCATCTTCCCTGCCTGTATTTCAGGGCTCCAGATCATCCCCTGGACAAGGATCAGCCCCATGACTCGATTTTGGACCGCCCATCTTTCCACACTCACAGCCTGACAGCCTCATTTGGGCCCACCATTAACCAGACCTGGCCCAAAGAATGAATCAAATGACTAAAAACCAACCCCTTCAGGATCCCCCAAACAAAACCAACTCCTTCAGAAGCCAGGTCAGGAGGCCAGGCCCAGCCTATCCCCCCTGTCCCTACCAGCAAGTTGACGGTGCAGCTCATGCGGTTCTCCTTGCTCTCGTCGTGCATGATGGTCCTGTAGTCCAGCAGGTTCTCCAGCAGGCTGCTGACCAGCAGGGCAAACACCTCCCCGGGGGCAGCCAGGTATTTGTGCTTCCTGCAGTGCTCCAGGAGCCTGCAGGGACACCCAGAGCCAGCAGGGAATGCTCAGTTGGGGTTGCGAGTGGCGGTAAATTCAATTTTGGGGTCAGCGCTGAACCCACCCCGCCCTGAGAGACCCAGCTCAGGCAGGGCAAAACATGACTTGCTGAGCAAAAACAGTGGGTCCTTGATGCTGAAATCTGTGATTCTGATTTAACTCTGAGCCTGCTCTTCTCAAGGTTTTCCACTTTGGCACCTGGGTGTGAGTTTTGAGCTCCCAGTTCAGGGCAGTTGTGCAAGTTGCTGTAGAATAAACCCATCATTTTTGGGCACTGCACTATCTCCCTCCTCACTGGAGCAATGAATTAGGGTCTCTCTGCATTAGAAAAACAGCCCACTAAACTGTAAATAAAGTTGTGTATAAAACTCACAGCTTCTCCAGCAGGATCTTGTACTGCTCGTCCCCTCGGCCACCTTCCACCTCCTGGTCCAGCTTGGTGATCAGCTCATTTTCAAACTGCAAAGGAAAAAAAAAAACAACCCACAATTCAATAAAAAGCAACTTCCCAGCGTGCCAGAAGCAAGTCCTGAGGGATCATCAACACTCTGTGACGTGCAGGGCAAGGAAATAGTCTCACTTGTCACTGTCCCCAGTATATAAATATATATTTTGTACATTTTTTAATATCTGTTTATACATAATATATAAATATAAACACCACTGGGATGGAAAATCCATTGTCTGCAGCACAACTGCAGTGTCCCCACCTGCCAGGTGAGATGGGGATGGCTGGGTATTCCCAGGGGAAAGCTGGAAGAGTAAATCCTTCAAAGCTGCAGTGAAAAACTCAACCTGGGGGCAAAAGTGAAGCTCCTTCTCCTTCCTCACTTGCTGGTGCTTCCCAGCAGCAATAAAAGGACAACTTCTGGGAGAAATTACCCCAGATAATATTATCCCAGATAAATTATATTGCATATATTGTATTTTCTTGCATTCCACGTGTATATTTGGGATATTCCCTTACCATATGGAAGTTCCTGTTCCCACTGAAGTTGAACTCACACTGCATCATGTCAAAGAAGATGGGAATTGTTGCTTTCCTGAGCTCAGGCTCTGGCACCAGGGTGACCTCCAGGATTGGCCCCACCATGGCTGGAATGAATTTTATCTTGTGGGGACCTGCAAGAAAAGCCCGAGTCAGACACAGCCAAATGTTTAAGCACATTGTAAAGAGGATGAAGCACAAGAACAGTGCTCAGAATGTGTGTTTTACGTGGTTAATGGCTGCTTAAAGCAGAATTAACACCACCACAGCCCCACAATTCACCAACAGCCCAGAAAACAATTGAGCTGGGTTGCAAAACATCTCTGAAAAATCCCACTTCTCCTTTACATGGCAGAACACCCTTTATGGGCAATCTAAGCCATTATCTCAGCAGCTAAAATGAGGAAAAAAAAAATAAAAATCAGCTTTTGCAGGTTATTCCCAGCAAAAGGAAAAGGGATTTTTGTGTGCTCAAAGTGCATTTCCCCACGTTTAACATGTGCAGCTTCTCTTAAAGAAATAAAGGGATTTGAAACCCAGGCTTGAGAGCTCAAATCAAGATCATCCCTTGGGCTGGAACTCACCCAGGTTGTACCACATATCCCTTATCTTGAAGCCAATTTCTTTCCTCATGTCCCCATACCTAGAAAAGGGATTAAAAGGGCAGAGATGACAAAATTTGGAGTTACCTGAAGGATTTCGTGGCAAGCCTACAAATGGTCACTGTGACAGGAGACTGCAGAGTTGTGAGGGCAGAATGCAATTAATCCCACCCCCAATTTCGAGGTGTTTGGTGTTTTTCCCTGAAGCTTTCACTGCTGGCATGGAGAGAACGCATCAAGGTTTAATTATCAGGCTTCTTAAAGCAGGAAAAAGGTGGCAAACTGTGGGTGCCCTAATAAATCCTGTGTCAAGAACCTCAAAGGTGTTTAGTGACTCGATTCCAACTAAATGAACAAGTGAAAGCTGCTCAGTCAGTAAAAATGGGGGGATTTATCCCTGCTTTGTCAGAAAAACCAAAGGAATAAATAAAACACTTCCCTGGCACCTCCTCCTGGCCCTGAGGGTTCATGGGGGGACGTCTGGAAGCAGCAAGAACGAAGCCCACAAATAAATCAGGCCAGGTTTGAGAGGTGAACTCACTTCTTGATGATCTTGCTGCGCTTGGCCTGGGAGAAAGTCTCCAGCTGCAGGGACTCGTGGGTCAGGAAAGCCACTGCCAAGTGGAAGAAGTTATTCCAGAGCTGGGGAAGAGAAACTAAATAAAATAGGGGCTAAAATAAACCGGGAGAAGGCAAAGGAAAAGCACCGACCAGCACAGCCCCCAAAATGCTGCTGGTTCCCTCCAGGAGGAGGAAAATCAACACTGTGAATGAGCTGGGGAGCTCATTAATAATGTTAATAATGTTAATTGTGGGATTTATTTGTTCTGGTTTGGGGTCCCCAAGAAAATCCAGGAGGCAATTACCTGGAGCTCAAAACCTTTTTGATCCAGAAAGGCCTGGTTGAGGACGGAGGTGAATTGGTTCACTGCCCTGAGGAAAACCCTGGAAAAGATAAAATCATGGATGAAAAGTGGCTCTTGAAATCAAAGAAATGGCATTGCAGCTCTGGGTTTGTAAGACCAGGAACAGATGCTCCCAAAGAAGGCAGGAGTTCCTCTAGAATCTCTTCCACCTCTTGCCCAGGAGAGGAACATTCAGGGAAAGTTATTCCTTGGTTTAGTGGCCTCAAGTCCCATCAAGGCAGGTTCAGGTTGGATATCAGGGCAAGTTTGTTCACTGACAGAGTGGTGAAACATTGCCCAGCTCTGGCTTTGGGTTTGCCATGGGATTCCCCTCCCAGAACTGGCACCAAAAGGGCTGCTCTGATTTATTGCCACTCTCCAACTGGATGGAAGAGCCCGTGGTTTGTGAGAGAGATTTCCAGTCCCATCAGCAGAAACGCCCAGGAAGCACAACTCACTGAAATTCTGATTTAAATCACCCAGAAAATGATGAAAGAAAATAAACCTGCTTGTGTGAGTCCTTTCAGAACCACAAAGGGCTCCAAAGCAAGACTTCAAATGGATCTATATAAATAAATATATAAATAAATTTATACCTGCTCTGCATCATGTTCATGACCATCCAGTCAGCTGCATACACGTTTTTCCCAATCAGATCCTTAAACATAATGAATGTTTCCATCAGGAAGTCCTGTGGCAGAAACAAAACCCAGAGCCCATCAGGCTGCAGAGATCTTTTTTTTTTTAATCCACATAAAAAGCCAGGGAAGTGCAACGTTTGCAAGTGCATTGATTGACAATCAATACCCTGCTCCCCCCCCCCAGGAAGGATCTCTCATTGTGTGGGTATATTCCAATAACTGAATTATTTCTGACAGCCCATCCACTCAGTGACACAAGGAGAAATAATTTGAGCTGTTTAATTAAATCTGTCTCTACTGGTTTGAATTAGGCCGGGTTGGGGGCAGTCCTAGAGCACAAGTTGGATTAAAAAGCAAAACCAGAATTCAGGGACTGGTTTCCAAATCCCTGAATGATGAGAGTGCAACAGCTCTGTGCAGGATCCTCTGTTTTACCTGAATTATATCTAAATTACAGCTCAATTATAATGTATTTATTATTAAATTACATTAGTTAAGTCCTTTCTGGTCCAGTTTAAGAAGGACACCTAAAGACAGATAGTGGACATGATGTCAGACACATGATTTATTGTCCAAACAAGACTTAAGACTTGGGCAAGGCAAGGTTGAATTGTGGAATGAGATAAAAAAAGGCAAAAAAGAAGAGAGAGGAGCTAAAGAAGGGAATATCAAGAATATTGATCTCTACACTGTGGTCTCTGCAGATATGAGAGCACTGAAATCAATTCTGGTCTCTACAACGACACCACATCAGCATTAAAAAATGAGAGGGACACAAAGGAGGTCACAGGAAAAAACACCCCCCTGAAACCAGCCCCAGCAAAAAAAAAAATTTTAAAAATCCTCTGTTGAGCTGAACAGTTTGCTCAGAAAAACTGGCAAGCGATGGAGAGAAAGAGAAATGGGCTTCTGGTGCTGCCTCAGTAAAAATCCTTCAGGCATTATTAAATCAGGGCTTGATGGAAAGGTTTGGGCTTGACAAGAGAGCACCTTGAAGAGATGAATTAACTCCTACCAGTGTCAAACCAACCAAGCCACGATGCAAAGCAGGGCTGCAAATGCCCAGAGCCAACAAAAGCCCCCACCAAACAACAAGAACGAAGCCAATTATTGCAGTGAGACAAAATGTTCTGCTGGCATGAACAGCAAAAAGGGTGGGTTTGCTTGGTAGATTCAAGGATGGGTAAAAATTAGATTAGGAATTGTGATTTTCAATCAGTGCCTTGTTTAAATCCAGCCCTGCTCGTGGCAGGTGGTTGGAAGAAGATGATCTTTAAGGTCCCTTCTGACCCAAACCATTCTGTGATTCTGTTTTCTGGAATTCTAAATGATGAGCAGGTAGTTTTAATAATTACATTCATAATAATAATAATAATAATCATAATTCTCCCTCCTGATAATGGCTTTGATTCTGGGTTCTTTCTTCCTCCACAACAAATTATTTGGGTGAGGGAAAAAGCAGCTCTGAGCCCACAGGAAGGGAGAGTGACCTGTAGATGGCTGTGTTGCTCAACAGATGGAAAGCAACTCCTGAACTGCACAGGGAAAAGGATCCCCCTGGCTTCCAAAATGAACTTCAAAACCTTCCTGAGGGTTCTGACACAGGGAGAACACAACCCCAGCTGGTGTTTCAATAACCAAGCACCTCCCAGTTGCAAAACAAAGGAATAAGGGGGCAAAAAAAGCCACAGGAGTTGCTGTGTCGTGCACCAGGGAATTGCTTTAATACTGGTTTTGATCATTTTGGGGTGTCTGGAGAAAAATCTGGGCACAGCTGTTCGTTTTAAGGGCCTCAAAAAACAAAAAGCTGGTGTTTCACCTGGATTCATATTCAAAGTCTTTGGGGATGTGAATTGCACACAATTGTTGCTGTTTTGGGAACTGTCTGCAGTGCTGGCCATTAAAGCAGGATTGAGTAGGATTTAATTAAACTTTAGAGGAGGGGAAAGATTCAGGTGAAGAGAAAAGGAGCACAAAGAGAGACAGTGAGAGAGTGGGGGAAATGCTTTTCCTTTCCATCTTCACTCCCTTTCCTGGTTCCTGACTCAAACAGCCATTAAACATATTTTTACTCCATGCCACAAATGCTGCTCTTGGGCTCTACTGAGTCAACACCACCCAAGAACAAATGCCCAGGGGCTGTGGCATCAGGAGCCCAGGACTCACTGCTGATGGATGTGGTTTAATCAGCCCAAACCCCACACAGCAGCTTGGAGTGACCTTTCAGAGGCAGAGCCCGGACTGAGCCAACTCCCCAGCCAGGCTGACTTACAATAATGTCCTGCCTGGTTTTGAAAGTGCTGATGTAATGGCTGTAATGGAAATCATCCATCTGCCTCAGGATGGCTGTCATGCAGGCCACGAAAATACCCTGCAATGGGAGAAAGAAAACCCTGGGTTACTCCCCTGTGTGAAGCACTGGAAGCTCTAAGTGTTCTCAGAGTGACCTCATCAAGCACCACTGAGCACAGTCCTGCATCATCCAAGCCCTGCCATCATCCTGGGACTCTTCAGTCCTCTAAACCAGGCAAGACTGGCTGAAATCCAAGCATGAAGGCTGAGTCCTGCTTCCTTTCTCCTCAGGGATCACAGTTTGCAAGAGAAACACATCCTCCAAACACTGTATATATCTATACATAAACACATACAAACTACTTCATTATATCTTCAGGGTCTTTTCCAACCTGATTCTCTGATTTTTCAGGGTCTTTTCCACCTTAATTCTCTGATTTTCAGGGTCTTTTCCAACCTGATTCTCTGATTTTCAGGTTTGGCATGGCTAGCTGTGATTCCCATGGGTGACCTACTGACATGACTAGAAAGTTATTAAAAATATATTCCCAGCTCTTCATTTTTTCCCATCTTTCTAGGCACGAAAGACAAAGAAAATTAAGACACTCCAAGTGCTTACACCTTCCAAGATCTGTCAGCAATGCCCCTTAGGGATGTGCCACCCCTCAGCATTGAATCCTATTCAGCCAAGGTGATAAAAGAGCATTTTTTTTCACCCTGGCCTCAGAAAATCACTGTCTGAGTGGCACAGAAACCCTGCAGGGAAGGGCAAGATGATCTCACAGATCACTGCTACACGCTGGAACCTCCCAGGGGAACAAATTCCACTCGGAAAAAAAGGGGTGAAGGTGGGGAAAGTCAAAGGCTCTCACGATGTGAGGGGACTGGCGGCTCATCCCGATCACCGTGCGGTTGATCCTCCTCAGCAGGCGCTCCATGATCAGCTGGATGTGGAGAGCTGTGGGGCCCTGGGGACGTGCAACGAGGAAAATCAGAGACCATTCTGGAGGGACACTGCTCCAGAGAGGGCTCCCTGGGTGGGGGGACTGCCCTGACAGTGGTTAATTGCCATTAGGGGAAGAAAAAAGGGGATTTAAGCACTCGAGCGATCGATTCAAGTGCTGGAGGTGTTCACTTGGTGGGGAGCTCAGTTAATTGATCTGGCCCAGCTTCATTAGCTCATCCTGCTGCTCTGACTGGGCTTTGTTTTCCCTCAACAGCTCTTCAGTTCAAACCATTCTTTCCCAACAACTCAGAATCCATGTCCAATGTGGGCAGAGCCCTGATCCTCGTGCCCATTTCACAGAAACCAAACACTTCCATCACTTGCTCCAAATTATTCAGCAAGCCACTAGAACAGCTGGGATAACATTTTGGTCCCTAGAAAGGGAAGTAATGGCTTTTAGTACTGTGTGATAATGAGTAATTCAACCTTTCCTGCCTCCTTTTTCGGACACAGCTAAAAAAAACCTGCGGTTCTACAAAGAACTGCCCAGCAGTGCAACACGATTTCTGTAAACATCACAGCTTCCTAATGCTTTAAAGCATAAGTTGAGATGATATTTTTTTTTTTTTTTTTACCACAGCCACTCCAAAGAAGAACTGGCACCCTTGGGGAGTTCATGCTCACCACATCTTTCCTGTCCAGCACTTCCAGAACGCTGCTCAGCAGCTGGGAACTGGCCTCGTGGTCAGGCCTGTGGGAATTGTCATCCAGCTGCCCACTCAGCTGGTCGATCAGCAGGGGCAGGAGGGCATCTCTGCATTCTGCAAAAGGAGACAGAGACAGCACCACGTCATGTTGCCCTCAGGAAGATCCTCAGCATTCAGGGTACACGGGAACCACACAGGAGTTTTCTGCTCCCAACTTTAGCTTGGACACCAAAACATGTTTAAAGCCACTTGAGTTACAACCAGCAGGTGAGAGGGTCATAAAGAACCTGCAATTAGAATCATGGAATGGACCTTAATGATCATCCTGCTATGGGCAGGAACACCTTCCACCAGCCCAGGTTGCTCCAAGCCCTGTCCTGGCCTTGGACACTTCCAGGGAAGGGGCAGCCACAGCTTCTCTGGGCAACCTGTGCCCACAGGGAAGAATTTCTCTCCAATATCCCATCTAAAAATTCCTCTCATTTCTAAATTATATGCATTGCATCAAATAGCAAACTCAACATCTGCCTCCTTCTAAACCTGGATCCCACAGCGTGGAGAACTGAACAGCCAAAAACCACTGCAGTTCTTCCACAGCAAGGGATATTTCCAAAGATGGATTTAATGGTGGAATAGCACTGGTGACTGACACAGCAACTTGCAAGGCATTTCTGTTTTTAAGGCTGTGGACTTCCCTGTGCCACTCACCGGCCTGCCTGAACAGATCACTCTCCACGATCTTGGTCAGGCAGTTCAGCTTCTGGCGCACGAGCTGGTTGTCAGGAATGCTCTGGATGAACTTGCTGAAGAGGACACTGGAGTGCAAACCACAGAGGGAACAGATGGTCAGCACTTCCACCCACTGCCACCCCGTCCTACGCCCACCCTGATCACAGAACCCTGGGATGGTTTGGGTTGGAAGGGATCTTAAAGGTCATCCCATCCCACCCCCTGCCACGGGCAGGGACACCTTCCACTAGCCCAGGATGCTCCAAGCTGGCCTTGGACACTTCCAGGGATCCAGGGGCAGCCACAGCTCCTCTGGGAATTCCATCCCAGGCTTTTATTCCCGGGAATTCCATCCCAGGCTTTTATTCCCAGGCAGACCAGACACATCACAGAGAATTTCTACACAGGCAACACTCTCTGCCCTCCAGTGCCAGCACCAGAGGATCACACTTGCTTTCATATAAAATGAAAGCAGATTTTTGCAAAGGCCCAGCAGCCCCCACTGCTGAAAGTTGAGACAGGTAAATTAGCAAAAGCACTTCCTTCCAGATGCCCCTTTCATCGAGAGTGATGACTCATTTCAGCCCGAGATTCCATTAAATTAAATTCCATGCACATTTGCTGTCTGTCTGCTGCTTCCAAGCAAATTATTTGTGTCAGCACAAGGAGACAGGGATGGGCAGTTCTGGGCAAGGCTGTGAATGAACACACAGGATCCTAGCATGGTTTGGTTTGGAAGGGACCTTAAAGATCATCCCATTCCACCCCCTGCTGTGGGCAGGGACACCTTCCACTAGCCCAGGTTGCTGTTTTTAAAGTGAAGTGGCCAAAATTCTTCCCACCCAGCTGAGCTGGGTTTAGAGGACAAACAAACAATATTAGTTACCTGAGCTCAACGGGGTCAAACACCAGTTTGACATCATTTATGATGCTTGGCAAATACTTCAGAGCTGCCCCCTGCAAGCAAAAAAAAAGCCCAAGGACATGAAACACTCGTGGCACATCTAGCTTTTGTCAAGAGCAAATGTGGGGGCAACTGCAGGGAAATGGCTTAAAGTCAAATTTCTGCTTTCAAAGAGCCCCCAACAACCCCACAAGTGCAGTGCAGACCAAAGGTGAAGGAGGGAGGATTCACAGACAAGTGCTTTTCTCAGGAGATGCTGAAGGGATGCTGCTCTTTTTATTTGATAAACTTTTGGCTTTAATTATCCCCTTCCTGCCACACACAGCTCATCCAAGCAGACATTCAGAGGGGTGACTCACCTTGAAGGGGTTTTACATTCCTCAAAGCCTGTTCCCCTCTCTGGCCCAGCTCCCTCCCAGCTGCAGGGAGTTAACCTAATCAAAGATATTACTTTTATGACTTCTGCCTGCAGATCTTGCTCACCTTGATCTTCACAGCCTCCTCCAGGGGCCGGTCCATGAGGACGTTGAAGGACAGGAACAGTTGGCGAATGGCGTCGTTGAATTCATTCCCATCCTCGCTGTTCCCGTAAACACTACAAAGAACAGACACACAAACCTGGGATAACAGTGCCAGAGCAGCTGAAACAGGATTTTATCATCTGCAACAATATCTCAGTGCAATCTCCCTCCACAGGCACATGAGGGGACTTGGGGCTTCTTGCAGTGATTTCCTGCTGGAATCCCTTATCGTGGAAAAACTCCACTTTTTAACCTGCCACTGCAGCAAATTCTGCTTGGGCTCCAACAATAAAGGCATTCAACAAAGAAAAAGCCAGAATGAACACGGGTAGAGGACTCTACCTTATGGGATTCACTGCAAATCTCTGACAAGATGTTCCGAGGCTCCAGTAAAACCACTGCCATTCACCACACCCCAACTGGACAAGGTGCCACCCTCACCCCACCTGAGTGTTTGTTGTGTGTGTGTGTGTGTCTGTTTAACTTAAAAGTTCCTTAAAATGAGGCAGTCATTCCATGTTTTCCTTTTTAAAATAACTACTGGGCTCCTTTTCAGCTCCCTGCACGCTGGGGGTGAGTAAGGGGATTCTCCTCTTCAAATGGGATGTTCCAATTTTTGCTTGATTTTATTTCTTCCAGCTGTTGGCAAAGGGCAGGAAGGTCCCCTTAATGAATAAGGGATAAAGGTAAGGTGAAGAACATGGGCTGAGTGGAAAGAGCTCCAAGAGGAGCCCCCAGGCTGGCAGTGGTTGGGGTCTCACCTCAGGTACAGCACCCGGGACTGGACGATGAACCTGAACAGGTACTTCAGGGCTTTCAGGGCAGCAAAGAGCAGCTCTGTCTTGCTGGAGTCCTCAGCATTCCCCACGTAGCAGTTCAGCACTTTGGTGAGCTTCCTTTGGAAATAAAGCACACAAAGGGAGAACTAACACAGACACAGTTCAGTTCCTGTCCAAGTCCAGCTTCCTCATTCCAGAGGGGAACTACAGACCGAGGAACAGATAACGGAGGTTCCTGCTCACACCCCATTTCCTCCTGAAATCTTTGCCTTCATGGGATGCCAGCTTTTCATAACCACTTCATGAATTCTCACAGAGTCTACAAATCTGGCTGCAAATCCCACCTTCTTCCCTAAAAATGAGCTGGAAAACCCACTCCTCCCGGAGGTGACTGCCACCTTCTCCCTGGGTTATCGGTCTCAAGTGTGGAGCACAAAGCCCTCCTGAAGCAATTCTGAGCTGCAGACAAGTGGCATAAACACATTATGTGTATTTTTTAATCAAGTCTCTGCCACATCAGAAGATCAGGATCCTCCCTGAGCGCCAGGGCTGTGAAAATTCAGGTAAAATCCTCTTCATTAATCAACTCCCAGCACCCAAAGTAGTGTGAGAGTGGAAGCCAAGCTCTTGCTGCTCAGTTTGCCACCCTGCCAGCACCCAAATCCCCCCCTTTTTCCCATTTCTGGCACGTGGAACACTCGAAGGATGCTATGGAATACAGAAATTTTTACAGGGTATAAAGAGTTTCCTTCTCTCCTGTGGAAGCAGAGAAGAATGGGATGGGAATCTCTGGGCTCTGCAGCTTTTATCACATCACCATCATCAAAAACTACCTAACAAATGCCACCATTACCAGAATTAAAGACTGATCACAGCCCATGCTATCAGCCTGGGGTGCCAATACTCACACATATGCCAGGGTGGCACTGAAGTGCTTGTAGATGTAAGTCTCGAGTACAGCATTGAAATGCTGGAACTTGATGTCTCCAATCAAAGAAATAATAAATACCTGCCAAGAGTCCAAAAGGAAACACATGTACAGAGCTGCACAGCCTGCAACTGCAACATTACTCAGCCTGCAGGTGCATTTACAGGTTTTGTTTGTTTTCCTAACAGCATTAATGCCACAGAGAGTGTTACTGATGTTCTAACAGTCACTAAACACTGGGTGTATTTATTTATTTATTGCTATTTTCACTGTGGTTACCAAAAAGCTGAATGTGTGTTTCAATCCTAGCTCTGAAAATGCCTTTAAGAAGTGCTTAAATGTAATTTATTAACAGAGCAAAACACCAGTTGCTCATCTAAAGGCATCACCAGCAACAGGCTGGACACAAACACCCTAAATCCCCAAAAGACTTCACTCACCAGGGCATCAAACACAAGGAAGTCATAGGTTTCATTTTCTGACATCTCCATCATTATGTTGAAAAGTGCATCCAGGGTGTCTGGCAAAAACTAGGGGAGAGGGGGGGAAAAAAAAATATAACAGTAAAAAAATAACAGTGAATAGGAATAAAACAACAAGGAGGCTCAAAACTGCCCAGGTACCTTCACAATTTCCCCTCCTTCCACCTCCATGAGCTTCCTGAGGTTGTGGGCGATGTTCTGCGAGTTGGAGCGCCAGTTCAGCAAACCCAGCAGGTCAACTGGCAAGGGCACAACACAACAGCAGCAATTAGCAAATTGCAACAGCCCAGCTGACTTAAGGGCTGCAGGACCAGGCTGGAGGGTTATTTTTAGAAGCAGGGAAGAAGGAAAAGTCACCCTGATGAACAGAACGTTCAACAGCATCCAGGAGAGCTCAGTTCTAACTGCTACTCCCTTTAACAGCAGAGGAGGGAGGATAATTAACCTTAAACATTCATAATTCTGGGAAAACATACACACTGTCCCTGGGAGGTGCCATTTCTCCACAAGGATTTAACAAGGGGAGTTTGGACACCAACATTCACGGGGTGTGGTTGCACAGACACCTCTGTAGCCTGTACTGGCAGCGTGATGCCACTGACACCCCAACCAGCAAAATCAGAGCTCCAGCACCGCATCCCACCCACCCTGCAATGCCAAAACACACCATTCTGGGTCAGCTTGGTGGAGCAGATCACAGTGGCAATCTGGAAGCTGTCCTTTGTGCTGTCTTTCGTGGGGGTGAAGTTGGCCAGGTGGTGCAGGTTCTTCCCTGGAGGAGCCTCCCTCTCCTCCATCTCCGTTTTGGTGCAGGGAAGGCTCAAGTAGCTTTTGGCATCTTCCATTTTCTTGTTGTCACCCTGGTTGGTTGAAGGCAGCAGAGAGAAGGGTTATCTCACTCTGAGCACACTCATCTGAGCTCCTGCACTTCTCATCTGCAGCCAGACTTCAACACAGTGATGGACAGGATGGATTTGAAGCACTTTTTAACCCCTGGAATTGTTTGGGCCTCTCATTTTAGGGAGTGAGTTGCCCATGCAGCCAAAGGAGATCCAAAGCACAGAGGGTCTCCCCTCACCACCCACACACTTTATAACTGGGAAAATCAGCCAAGAGAGTGTTTTGCTCAGTTAAACAAGAGGCAAGACTGCAGATGCCCAGGTTACCTTGTAAACAATCAGATTGTGTTTGCCATCCTGCAGCGTTGTTCCATCTGCATTCATCAGCTTCACAAAGCCCATGCCAAAAGCTCTCTCAGACCTGTCCCTGGCTGCAAACACACAGAGGAATCTTTGTTGGGAGCTGCCTCATTTATGTGCATGCAATCCACAGTGCAGCTCTCCAACTGAGGCAGCAGCTGCTTTATTTATTACACTCTGAGGGCACTTCACAGGTACCTGCAGCTACACAGACAAACATCCCCTTTGAAGCATCTCTCACCACACCATTTTAGTGGCTAATTGTGCTGATGGCTGGGCAGATTAATGGCTGGACTCCATGATCTCAGAGGTCTTTTCCAACCTGAATGATTCCATGACACACAACTGTGGAGATATTTTTTTGGTGGGGGTTTTGCACATCAGATTGGCAGGAATGGATGTGGAAGTCACTGCATCTCCCAGATGCCTTCAGAGGATTTTTTTGGAGAGCCTTTCAAGGGTTTATCTCTCACATTATTGATCTCGTTTCAGGGCTCTGAAATTGTCTGATGAAACTTCTGGCTCTCACTTTCTCATTAGCCACTCATTTACCTAATTACAAATCCTCCTATAGGAAGATCAAGCTGAATTTTGTCAAGGCCTTGATATAAATTAAAACCAAGACCATACACTGAGAAGCCAGAGCAATAATAACTGTCTTTTAAGGGGGCCACCATGCTGCTCCTTATCTAATTTCACTTTTAAAACACCAAACCTACGCCGGGAAAAATTCGAGTTATTTTTCTTTTGGCTTGCTAAAAAATCCTCGAAGCTGGAAACGAGTAGAAATGAGAAATGAGTAGAAAAAGAGCTACACTTCTGGTGGGTGCTCAGGAAATCTCTGTGAGGGTGGGAAGAGCAGAGACCCTTCCTGATGATACTCACACTCCTGTGACGAGCGGTGACGGAAGGTGAACCTCAGGTGGCACCGGCTGACCTCCTCGATGGCAATGGCCACCTGCACAGGGGGACACCAGGAACATGCAGCACCAATCCCCACCTCCTGTCCTTTTACAGGGTGTTCTGGGGCTGATGCACCTCCTGATTTTAAACCAGTTGTGGTTTCAGGCAGTCCCGTTTGGTGCCTTTGTTGCTGATCTGGGCGAGGGGGATGGAGTGAACCATCGACAAATCTGCAGGTGACACAGACCTGGAGGGGAGGGTGGATGTGCTGGAGGGCTCTGCAGAGGGACCTGGACAGGCTGGATCCATGGGCTGATTCCAAGGGGATGAGGTTCAACCAGGTCCTGCCCTTTGGCCACAACAACCCCCGGCAGCCCCCCGGGCTGGGGACAGAGTGGGGGGACAGAAAGGGACCTGGGGGCACTGAGTGACAGCAGCTGAACGTGAGCCAGGGGTGCCCAGGGGGGCGAGAGGCCGATGGATCCCGGCCTGGCTCAGGAACAGGGTGGCAGCAGGAGCAGGGCAGGGATTGTGCCCCTGGACTGGGCACTGGGGAGGCCACCCCTCGAGTGCCGTGCCCAGCTCTGGGCCCTCGGTTTGGGGAGGATGTTGAGGGGCTGCAGCGTGTCCAGAGAAGGGCAACGAGGCTGGGGAAGGGGCTGGAGCACAAGTGCTGGGAGGAGCAGCTGAGGGAGCTGGGGGGGCTCAGCCTGGACAGGAGGAGGTTCAAGGGGGACCTTTTCACCCTCTGCAACTCCCTGACAGGGCACGACCCCCTCGTACCTTGACGGTCTCGTACCAGCAGGGCTGCTTGACCTGGTAATAAACCACGGACTTGTACTCGGAGACACCTTCGTAACCAGCGCCGGGATGGATGGCTTTCTTTGGACAAAACACAGAGGGGAGGGTGGGGGAGGAGGAGGTGAGGTCAGGAACGAGAGCAAGGAGGGGTTTGGGTCACGCCACCGGCAGAAGGCCCTGCTACCTCCTGGAGGTTTCCATCCTCGTCGTGGACGGACATGGTGACCTCCACGTTCTTGGGGGTCTTCTTCTTGCCCTTGTCGAACTCCCCCTGGATCAGGGTGACGTAGATGTCGTTCCGAACGTCACCTGAAACCCAGAACGTTCCTCCCTGAGGGTTTTTCCCCCTCGTTCCACGAGGGTTTTTTCCATCACACAGTTTTCCAGGCGGTTCCCAGCCTCGGGGACCACGTTACCCTCGTCTTCTTCTCAGCCTTTGGGTCATTCACAGAATATTTGGGACCTTTAATGACACCCAACACCCCACCCGCCTCACCTCCACCTCGAATCACACAAAGTCTTTTTAAAATGATCCATTTTTCTTTTTATAAACCTCCATCCTTATGTATTTTTTTGAATATAACGAGCTCTACAGGGCTAAATCCACTTGGAGTGGATTATGTAGGGTCAAATCTACATGCAACAAAAACATCTTTGACTAAAAGGACATTTTGTTCTAAAAACTACCATTCTTCAATCAGAAAGGAAACTCTTTTGACAAAAAAAAATTAAAAATCATCTGGAAATCTGAGGAAAAATAGGAAGTTTTCAGTCAGCTTCAAAATAGATCTTTTTACAGCAGAAATTCTGGAATTTTAGCTGGCTCTTTGCCTCTGTAGGGGCACAGGGGACCTACCAGGAAGGACGATCTCAGGGAATCCCATTTTCCGAGCCACAGCAGTTGATCTGTCCACGAGGTGGGAGAAATCCTTCTGAACCTGAGCCAGATCCCCAGGGAGCAGCTTCAGGGAGACCCAAAGGCCTAAAAAAAGGAAGATAACACTTGTTTACTGCAAAAAAAAAAAGGTACAACCCCATGAATTTTAAACCTGTGTTTATAAAAACCTCTTTCTTCCCGTGACCTTCCTGCAAATATTCCTTAAATATCCCAAGCTGGTTCTTTCTTGCTCAGTTCTGCACCTCCCTAACGCTGAGTGAGGTTTTACTGGGCAAGAAGATTCTCTGAAGTGAAACACAGACTCTCTGGGATGAATCCTGAGTGTATTTGAGCAAAGGCCACACACCCAAAGAAGGGCAGAAAAATCCTGAATAATTCAGTTTAAACCCAAAGCAATTCACAGAACATGCAGCAGCGTTCACCCAACAGGATTTTATGTCCACACAGACAGTTTTAGGTTAGAAATGTTGCATTATCAGCATGGAAATCATCAGTTGGAGCAGCTCTTCTCCTTCAAGAACAGCTCCTGGGTTCATCTGCTTTTAGCTCTGCTGGGGTGACAACCACTACAAAGGACACAGGTTTGGCTCAGGGAAGGGAACAAACTCCATCAATCCTTGACCTCTGGACTTTCACAGGGCATTTATTTCCTCAGCAGGCAGGGGAACCCTTCCCCAGCCCAGCTTTTATCCCCCAGGGGGGGGCTGTACCTTGTCCTTTGTGATTCACCTCCTTGGCAGCGATGACTTTGTTGAAGACAGAGGTGAGGGGCTCGTTCTCCCCTATCACGTGGGATGTCATCAGGGGGGACATGATCAGCTGTCTCTGCCTGATGTAGGTCTCCATGGCAATCCTAAATCAGACAGCAGAGGCCAACATCAACCTGGGCAAGAAGAGGGCTGGCCAACAGCTGGCTGTTTGCCAGGGAAATGTTTGGTTTATTAATAGAATTAATGACTGCTGTGAGATCATCAAGTGAAGAACCTCTCCCCAGTCACAGCCACATCTGATGAGCTTTGGGTCTCGAACCTGACCTCACTGCAGCAATAATGACACATAAAATCATCTCCCATCCTGGGAGATTGCCCAGCTGTGCATTCAAACTCAGCCTCATTAGAGCAGAGGGAGAACGGGGAAAATCCCAAAACCAACCCAACAAAAAACCCAAGATGAACAAACAAAACCCCCAATAAACAAACCCAAAACACAAATGAAGACCCCAAACAAAAAAACCTCCAAGCAAACAAAGAAAAGCAGCAAAACAAAACCCGAAAACTCCCAAACAAATGAAAAAAAACCACCAAACAAACAAAAAACCCAAACCAACAAACAAAAAAAACAACCATAAAGCAGCAGACTGACATTATCCTGCAAAGTAAAAGCCATCTCCTTCCAGGCCCTGAAGGGGTTTTGTTCCCCTGAAAATACCTTGTAATAACACAGGGCTGGAACACTGGCATTGTTATATTTAGGACTGTAACAACATGGCTGGGTCTACCCAAACAAACTCCATTTCAGTGCCTGGAACGTGCCAAAAAATTGAGCTCTAAGAGCAGGCAGAACACACCAGGCTCACCAGCACTGCAGGAATGCAGAACTCAATGGGATTTTTGGGATTAAAAAAAAAAAAAAATCCCTTCCCTGCTGCCCTCTGGCCCTTCCAGAGACATCAGGAGAGGGAAGAGGCAGAGGAACCACCCAGCAGGGACAAGATGTGCCTCTGTGCTCAGGGGTTTCTGAAGCTCTTGCCTCTCAGCCCTCAAACACTTTGCAAAGTCGCCTCCCCAAGGTTATTTTGCACCTTTTGTGCTCTTCTTTCTGCCCTCCCAGGTCGAAATTTCAGCTGATTGCCCAAACTCCCCGAGAGAGAAAAGCAGAACAAAGGCTCCAGGAGAGCGACAAGAAACCTTTCCCTTCCAAGAGCTGGCTCCTGCTGCAGGCTGATTGGAGCACTGCCAGGCTCCCAGACAGCTCTGTCCTTCTGCAGAGGACAATGGCTCGAAAAAGCCAGAGCTTTTTAGAACTCTGGAGCCGGTACTTACTGCTGGAACGGGATGAAATGCTGCTTCTCCTCGTCATCCACCTTCCCATGGATGATGTCAGTTATGTCCATCACTGCAACGACACCAGATCATCACTTGCTGCTAAAAAAACCCCCAGAGAGCTCTTCCCTTTCGTAATGGAAATAACAACAGCTCATTTTGGGGTCAGTGTCACCTGTGACAAGGGCTGGGAGCAACCTGGTCTCGTGGAAGGTGTCCCTGGGTGAAACTGGGTGGTCTTTAAAGTCCTTTCCAGCCCAAACCACTCTGGGATTCCCCCAGAGAGCACCACCCTCATCTCAACCTTTTAAAAAAGCACCTTTTCACTGATGAAAACTCCTCACTCGCTCAGCCCAATGAGTGTGAAAATGTGATAAAAACCAAGGTGGGGCTGGGGTATTTCACAGCAGACACATTCCATTTACAATCAAACGCTACTATTGCTTATTTATTTAATTTTCCACCACAAATTTCAAGTCTTTTCCTGGGAGATCCCAGGGATCAAACAGGAATTGGGTGTCCATGAGCACTCCATCCTCATGGACAACCTTCTTTAGAGGTCTCAGAGGGTTGCTATTTACAGCCTGGCATCAGCAGCGATGCTGACTCTGGCAGGGCACAGCCAGCACACCCAGCTCCCACTTCCCAGCCCCTGGAAGCCTCTCCACAGGCTGGCTCTGTCCTACCTGCCACACCAAAGGGTCTCCTGAGCCCACAGGTGTGCTTCTTCCCATCCTTGAGCTCCATGTGGCCCACCCTCACGATCTGACACACCAGGCTGATCTTGGGGCGGATCAGGTCAGAGCTGCTCAAGTCCTGGGGAAAAAAAAAAAAAAAAAAAGGGGTTGAAATGAAATGGTACCAAATTCTGCTTCAGGGATGGAAGGAGAGACAGAGAAAGACACTGCCAGAGGGCAGGGATAGATGGGATAGAGGGGAGAAATTCCTCCCAGAGAAGCTGTGGCTGCCCCTGGATCCCTGGAAGTGTCCAAGGCCAGCTTGGAGCAACCTGGGCTGGTGGAAGATGTCCCTGCCCGTGGCAGGGGTTGGCACTGGGTGAGCTTTTTGATCCCCTTCCAACCCAAAGCATTCCAGGATTCCTGGACTCACAGTGAAGACTGCCTGCAGGTTGTTTAGTTTCTCAATTTCTTTAGGCATCCCATTGCTGCCCCAACGAACCAGGTAATTTTCACTGCAAACAAAGGAAATAAAAAAAAAAAAGAAATGGCAATAAATCAACTACCTGGCATTCCCATTTCCTGGCAGAAGCTGGAAAGAATTTTGATCTTTTGGGAATATTTGAAGGATCCTGCCCAAATCTTCTATCCCAAGATGACTCTGAGGTGAATTTTGATCTTTTAGGAATATTTGAAGGATTCTGCCAAAGTCTTTTACGCCAAAATGACTCTGGGGTGACTCATTTCAGAGGAGGGTGAAGGCCCATCTGCCTGCCTGTGTAATTCCAACTGCATTTCCACACCTGATAACCCAGTGGTGGAGACAGAGTGTTCCTGACACAGACTTGCTCTCCTGATAAAGTTCTTTACATCTTCCCCACCAGTACAAAATCCCCAGCTCTCAGATGTGACCCTGCACTGCCTGGACAGCAAACACCACAGTGTGGCCATGATTTACTGGGAAACAATTAACCAATTAATCAAAATTGAATCCAGTCTTGGGAGCACAGCAGGGAAAATTGAGAATTTTAAAGACAATCTGAGGGTTTGGGTGATGTTATCTCAGAAATGCCCAGCTTTAAAGAGGGGAGGCAGAACCCTGACTGTCCACCTCAGCTGAAATTAATTCCAAATTAATTCCAACTTCCCCCCACTGGGGCAGCAAGGCACAGAACTGCAAAACCTCTCTGCTGCATCTCCTTTTCTAACCTGCTAAAAACAGCCCCCACCTGATGAATTTGGAGAGATCGGGGTCGTAGAGGCTCATCAGCAGCTCTGCATCTTCCCCAATGTTGCAGACAAAGTTCTTGAAGTTCACATACAGGCTGTAGGTGTGGGTGGAGTTGAAGATTGGCTGCCCTCTGAGGTCCAGATTCTGCTGCAGGGACTGCAGGGAATAATTCCATTAAAAACAAACACACGGGAATTCGCTGCCAAAGGAGCACAACATCCTCCAGGGAGGGATGTACAGACACTTGGAGATGACAGCCCAGTGGCAGGACATGCACCTTCTCCTCCTGGATCCTTTCATCAATCCTTTTGGAGGCCGTTTCGTGGGCCCTGAAGAGGGAGATGGTGCTGGTCTCGTCCGGGTCCAAGATGTTCCCGTTGTCGTCTCTCACCACCAGGTCCAAGCCCAGGATCCTGAGGGGGGCAAAAGAGAGGGCCCAGTTTGTGAGCAGCAAAGAGCACAAACCCCACCCCCCACCCCTGGCAAGATCCACGGGGCTGCTTTTGCTCTCACACATTTTCCCCTGTCTTCCCCCCCAGTAAATTCAATTTTAGGATGGCATCTCCCCTCATTCTTGCTTGAAGGGCTTTGTTCTAGAAGGTGGATGTGTATTATCTACCCAGCTGATTATCGTCCTCTGCCATAAGCTTTCTTCTTAATTGGCTTATTTGACTTATTGAATCAAGTCTGACAGGCAGATAGATGAGCTCTGGGGACATTTCCCCTTCTGTGCAAAGCAGTGAGAGCTGGAGCTCTGGGTGGCCAACACAATCCTGTTCCTCAGCTGCTGATAAAGCAATTTACTTCACCACCAGCAGCCAAATCCCAGCTCCAGCCAACCAGGCACAAACTGGGAAATGCCATCAAGTGCCAGATTTATGCAGAATTAAGGCAGGTGAGGCTTCCTGCCAAGCCCAAGAGATCTCTGGCCCAGGAAGAACCAACTGCTGCAAACCCACCTGCCAGGCAGCCCCACCATGCTGGGCACTCAAAGCTGCCACTGTCGCCTTTCCAAGGCAAAAATCCGAGCCCAAATTAGTGTGTGGTCACTCACATCGTGCATTTCCTGGCATCTGGGATTTACCTGTTGCCATAGTCGATCTTGGCAGTGACTTTTTTCTTGAGCTCAGCCAGCTCATCCTTGGGAAGGGTCCCTGAGAGGATCTGCGACCTCCACTCTATCAGGCTGTAGGTCAGCTGCTGCACGTGCCTGAACAGGGTGGTCTTGTTGTTCTGCAGGGAAAAGAAAAAAAAAAGGACATTTTGAAACAAGGAAAGCCTGAAACCACTGAGCTCAGTCAGCTCAGAACTGTCCCCAACTGCAGAATCCCACAGGTTGTATTTAACTGCAAACACCTGAGAAACAGCCACTGTGGGATCCTGCAAGATCAGACCCCAGGAAGGAATTCTCCAGTGCTTTGCACTGCCAAGGTTTAAGTGTCTTTAAGATCTTTAAGTGCCTTTAAGGGCTTCACTTTTGCCCAGGACATTTTTTTTTTTTTTTCAGAAAAACCCCCAGACTAAAAATAGGCTTCTGGTGCTTTCCAGCACTTCAAAACTGCTCTGCTGGGGAATTTTATGTACAGGGCAGAGAGAGGATGTTGAATGACCATAAGTGTGTTCTGGTGGATTGAGACAGGAATGCCAGCTTGATACAGAACCATGGGATACCCTGAGCTGGAAGGAACCCACAGGATCATCCAGCCCAACTCTGTCTGGCCCTGCACAGACACCCCAACAATCCCACTCCTGCCACAGCTCCTGCCATTCCCTTGGCTCCTGCCCCTGCTCACAGGGAGATCTTCACCCATCCCATGTTTTCACACCCTCCCCAGCTGTAGCTGCTCAGAACCACGTCAGAAGCTTGCCCAAAAACGCTCTAAAACCATCACTGAGAGGATTCCCAGCGCACCCAGGTCCTGCCTCCTGTTTGCTGCAGCCACTGCATTTTCACCTCAGCTGCAATTACAAAGCACCGACTGAACAGGACGTCAAAAACTGCCTGCTGAAGGGTTTCCTCCTGCCATCCCCACTGTTACCATCCTTAATTAACGACAATAACTCTCCTCCTGCTCACTGGTTCCACCCTACCAAAATCACTCCCACCTGTGCACCTCCTTCCTGCAGCTTGGAGCTCTAAGGCTGTAATTAAAACGTGGATGAGGGTGTGGAAACTGACCCTGTTTTATAGCAGGATGTGCCTGGATAAGTAAATCAGCTTTTAAAAGTGTCAGACAAACCATTTAAATCATTAAAAAGGGAGCCCAGGCTGCCTCTTTGCCACCACAGAGCGAGCCAGTTCCTGGGATGGCTCTGAGTGCCACCAGCAGCTCATTTTCACAGGGGAAAAGCCACAAATTGGAAGTTTCTGGGACAATGATTACGGTTATTCAGCTCCAAAACGACTTTCAAGAGGTTTCTGGCTCCATCCCACCCACAGCCAGTGGGAACTGGCCAGTGGTTCCTTGCTGGTCCTGACTGGGGTGTGACTGCAGCAGGGCTGTTAATTTTTAACTACAAACCCCAAACTGCTCCCCCAGAGCAGAAAGAGAAACTCAGTTCAGTGATTTCCCCATTCTGGTCTCTGCAAATAACGTGAATTGTACAAATCACTCACATTTTCCCCCCAAATCTAAAGGGATCAGCAATATATATAAACAACAATATTCCTTCTCATTTGAGTGACAGAGGGGCTGACAGAGGCTACAAGAGGTTTTAGTTGCTATAGGGAGGATATCACAGATACATTTAATAAACAAAGAGATACATTTAATAAACAAATTTTAAAAATGTGTCCTTGCATTAAAAAATACTTGCAAAGAAAAGGCAATTTGGGTGAGTTTTCAGGGCAATACAGAGCAGACCTCAATGTGCCACCAGCTGAGTTACCTCCACAGCTAATTCCTATTAACCAAACCAAGCTAAACACCCTCCCCCATTTTTATATTTATTTTGCAGGGGAGATAAACCCACTGCTGCAATGAAACCCACAGGAATTAAAGAAGTGAAATTAAATGCTGCCAAAGAAAAAGGAAAAAAAAAATCCCCTCATGTTTCCTTTTTCTCCTCAAATACCTCCTTCCTCCTTTAGCCTTTTTTTTGTTTCTTTTAATACACACACTGCAGGGAAAATAAACTCAAATCCATTTCAAACCACAACATTTTCCAAGCCTATTTTAGGACTTATATTGGTTAAAGCACAAAGAACATGAAAGATTTCTGCTCTTCAAAAAAAAAGATTCTGAGGCTCCAATCCTAAAGTTATTCAGGAATAATAATAAAATAAAAAAAAAAAATAAAAAAAAGCCAGGAACAAAACTCTCTTTTCACACAGTAATTCCATCCCCATCCAGCTCCTCATTAAATTAAGAGGGTGGAACAAATTCTTGTGGTTTCGTGGCGCACAAACAGAATGAACTCGTGGCCTGGTGAGATTTCCAACAGGAAAACTTGCTCTGGGTGCACTGAGTGATTTAGAGCTGATTTGAACTCCCCCATCTTAATTAAAAAAGCACTTTTAGCCACCCTCAAGGTCACTTTTACCACGCTGGGAGTGTTAAAACGCTGACTGACACCCCACTGTGCGAGCTCTGAGAGCATCCCAGGCTCATCTCACCCCAGTTTTGTGATGAAACAGCGATTACTGAGCAGAACTTACCACGTACAGCTTGTGCCAGATGACTGCCCACTCCCTGAGGGTGGAGGTGAGCTCCTGTCCCAGGGGCAGCTCACTGGGAATCACCGTTTCGTGTTGTCTAGAGTGGGGGAAAAAAAAAAAAAGGAGAAAGCAGAAGGAAGGTTTTGCACTCAAAGTTAAAACTTGGCAGTCAAACATCCTTTTTTTTTTTTTATAAACATGGAAATTTTCACGGAGTTCACTCACACAGGATGTCAAGAGTCTGAAGATGTTCTCCAGCACACACACTGCACACTCATTACCCTCTCAGTCTTGTTATTCCCACTGCATCCATTCCAGAAACAGAATAAAGAGAGGGGAAATTCAGCCTGCAAGAATCCCCACTTGCAGTGGTTAACAGTTATCTGACAAACAAAAATAAAAGAGCACTTCACAAAGGTTCTCCCTTTGCCACTGCTGTTTTCCTCTCCCTCTGAGGACCAGAGACTCAGCTCTAGGAACTGAACCAGGAGTCATTTCCTTCAATGTTTTCCAAGACAGGAAGGAATCCACACTCCTGCTGGCTCCTTGGCCAGGAGCAGGAGGTTGTTATGACTTGCAGGAGTCCCCAGAGGAGGTAAATGGAGCTCGATGGACCTGGAGCTCCTAACTGGTCTAACAGAGCTTCCTTAACCCTTCCTTTTCCTCCTGCCCCCATCCCACAACTGCTCTGGGATGTCAGTGCTCTGAAAAACCAAGCCATGCAGCCCTGGAAGTCTGGCAGAGGAGGCAAACCCTGCTCAGAGACAGGTCAGGAGTGGTTTATCCCAACCACAGCTCCTCCAGTTGGGTATTTTTTTTTGGGGGGGGTCCAATGGAATGGCAGAGGTGCCGACCTACCCCCGGTCCTTCACGATGGCCTCTTTTAAATGGATGTATGTCTCGGGGAAAATGCCCTAAAAAATAAAGAGAGAAATCAAATAAATCAGTCACACTGTGGGCTGTGACAGCACAGAAACAACATCTGAGCAGAAAGAAGGGGGAAAGGGTAAAGAGATGTCCCAGTACCACAGGAGAAAAAGCCACTAAGGAGTCCACGTTTGGGCACTGGATTTGATATCTGGCACCTCAGAGAAGGCAATTCCTTGTTTCCCTCTAATGACACTCATCTTCCTGCCTGAAACGTGATAAATTCCTGCAAATTGTCAATTATACTCATTTGTCCTTGCTACAAAACACTCCTGGGGTCATCTGCCAGGTCGCCCTGGACCTGTGTCTCTCCAGAAAAGCTCCCCCAGCACCTGTAGAAACTCCCAAATTTCCATTATTTAAAAGAAACTTTCCAGGAAACCTTTTCTGTTCCCTTTTCAATGACTAAAAAAAAATATGGAGACTGAGGGATGCTACCACAAGAGAGGTGCCAGGAATCCTCTGGGAAACCAGATTTCCCTGCAGCTTCAGGGCCAGCCCCACAAACCTCCAGCAGCCTGGCTGAGATCCAGGTTCTGTGTCATTCCTGGAATATTTTCCAAGCCAAATCAAAACTCTGATATTACCACTAAATACAACTAAGGCTGCATGTGTCCAGCTCCAAGAGCATAACAATAAAGCAATAAACTCGTGGATGCAGATGTGGAGCAGTCAGTTTTGGGAGCTGAAGCTGCATTACTGGTGATTCCAGAGGGGGAATATCCAGCCAGTGGCTCTGAAACTTTGAGCTCCAAGGGCATTTTTGCTGTCACTAAAGGAAAGGACACAATGGCCAAGAGACCTGTTCAATGTTAAGACAAGAAATACAGCAGATTAAAAAACTGGAGGGGGTCTGGCAAGGGGTGAAATAAAAATGAGAGGCAGAAAAGGTGAGGTCGTACCTTCTTCGATTTATTTCGGAGGGTGTATCCTCGGTACCAGCCTGGCAAAGGAAGCAGAAATATCTGCATTTATGGTTTCCCTGTCCACAGCAACCAAACAACAAGTGTAATTCACAACACCAGTCTACTGATCCTGTGAATAAATAGCTGTGAATCTGCTCCAAGTGGACACATCCCTCGTGTTGCTCTCTCACTGACCCCCAGCCAGGAAAACATCAAGATATTTCCAATCTCAAGATTCCCTGGGATCCCAGCTCTCCACTGCCCCAACTCCAAGGTTTGGCTCTTTCCCTAAGGCTCCACCTGCACAAAAATTAAACTAAACCCACTGTCCCTCAGCAAGCACAGAGGGGGTGGATGATGGTCCAGAACTCGTGGAGGGTGGTCAGGGTTGGCCAGACAACCCCCCTGATCCCACAGGATTATGTCCTGCTGAGTGGCAGCACCAAGAAGGCAAAGGGATTTACAGGAATAATTAGGCAAAGAAGAGAAGAAGAGAGGAGGGGAGGCTGCTTTATTTGGGGTTTGTTTGTTTGTGGGTTTTGTTGTTGTTCCCCCCCCAATCCAAATATTCATGTAATTAGCAAAGCATCTCCCATGAAGAACCACAGATCTGAGACCCCCTCAATCACAAATTAGAGCTTAGAGTGGTTATATTTGTGTTTTGTTGGGGTTTTTTTTGTATATCTTCTTGTATTTGCTCTTTTTTTTTTTTTTTTAAATGCAATGAGAAGGCTCCTCAACCACATGAACTCCAATATTCCAGTAATAAGTTAGGAGGAAAGAAGAAATGCCATTCCTTGCAACAGGATGAAAATAAGATTATACATTGACCATGGACCAATGGATCAGGTACTGGATTAGGGATGAGAAGATTTAGGTTCTATTTTTATCTAAGTTGTCATTAATTGGACAGTAAAGTCCAAGTTACTCAGGGTGCGATACAAAGCCCGTGGAATTTGCCAGGAGTGTTTTCCCAGTGATCTCAATTCCATCTGACACTTTTCAGCCCCTCCACAGCACAACTTCCTCATATTTCAGATGGCCTCTTGGCACTGACCTCATGCCTGTAAAATATTTTGCAACCATTGCAAAAAACCCCCTCGTCTCTGATGATGCAAAACTATTTCTGCAAGCACCTCGTGCCATTTTTTTAATCAGAATTCTGCTCCTGCTGTCAATAATGGCAATAATCTTGCCCATCACTGGAAAAAGGAACATCATCTTTTGCCAGTGGTCGATGGATGACGTGATTTTTTCTTATTAAAAAAACCCAAAATCTGCCTAAGCTTTGGAGGAGTGGGTTTTGTTTTTTGTGGGGTTTTTTGTTGTTTGGTTTTTTTTTTTTTAAGGGATCAGGTCCTCAGTTTTACCTTCCATTAAATGGATTTTTATGCAGCGTGGGAAAGACCAGAAAACCTATGAAAAAAAAACCATTCCAACTGCAATGGTTTGATGCTGGGTGGTGCAAGCCCAGGTCATGGGTTGAACCACAAGGTCCTCGTTCCTCCTGTCTCACCCCACACACAGGGATTGCTTCACCCACGCCCAGGGCTCAGAGAGGAGGCTGAAACCAGGCAGAAATTCAGTGTAAACTCATTTTCAGCAGGAGGAGAAACCGGTGAGAACCACGGTATGTGAGCACACATTCCTTCTCCCCACCACCTGGCCATTCCCACAACCTCCCTGAAATCATCATCATCATAAATAATAAGAGTTTCCCCTAAACAGCAACGTATCCTCCCAGCTCATCCTCAAGGACAGACGCCCAGAGAGTAAATCCTGCACCAAAGCAGCCCCCACAGCACTCTGGGTGCACCAAGATTCCTTCTCTCCTTGGATTCTGTAGCGTGTGCAGAGTCCTGAATATTTGGCAGAAGCCCACGCTGCACTATCCTGTTATCAAGGAGAACAATTCTGCACAAGCACCTTGTGCCCTCCTCAGTCAGCAGACTGAGGATAGAACTGGGGGGGTTTGAGATGTTTTTTGGGTTTTTTTTGAGATGGGTTTATGGGAGATCAGGGCACACCCACAGCGGAGTTCCCATCTCCCAGACAATCCCCACCTTCCCCCTGCACACTCACAAAGGTCTGGCCGGAGTTTTTTGGCTGGATTTTGTGGGAAAAGGGTTCAGGAATTCCCGTGGTGCCTCAGACACAGGGTCTGATTGCACGCTGATGGCTCTGCATATGAAAACAATCGCTTTCCCCTCGCCCAGCTGAAAACGTTCACCCTCCCAAACCATTTACAGGCGCTTTTTCTCCTGCAGGAGAAAATTCCACCCTGGCAAAAAAAAAAAAAAGAGAGGACCTTATTTGGGTGTTCATTCCCTATTCTTGATTATCTATTAAAGAGCTGGTGACAAGGAGGAGGGTTAAACAATGAGGCTGCTTAAAAACAGAGGGAAAGGAAGAAACACCCCAAAGTTTTGGGAAATATGAAATGCATCCTCATCGTGGGGGTAAATTTTTTTTTTGCTTCCTGACACTCCCTCTTTTCTTGTGTCCTTTTGCAGAATCAAGTCAGAATTTAGCAGTATTATATAAAGATATTTTTGCCTGTTACACACAGATATTTTGCCTGTTATGTACAGATATTTTCCCCTCCTATTACAGATATTTTCCCTCTCTCCCTCTGCCCCCCAAACACCCGCCCCAGTCACACCCAGCAGAGTTTAAAAAACACCCATCAGCACCATCATGAGCTCTGACACCGAGGAGCTGCCTGGGTGTTCCCAGTGAGGGCACAGACAAGTGGAAAGAGAACAATCGGCCAAGAACAAACCGCTAACCCAGCACTTTGCTGCTCCCGGCAGGGATACTGGGAGAGCTTTTCCAAACCCAGCCCGCTCCTGGAGGCCACTGGATTTGTATTTTGGAAAGGGCTGTTTCAATTTTGGGGAGCCTTCCAGGTAAAAGAGTGAGCAGAACGTCCTTTAGAATAATGAAAATGGCTCTGGTTCGTTCCCAATATTGAAATCTTCATTAAGCAGTCAGGTTTAATGAGCAGACTTGAAACACTCAGGTGTGATTTTAATCCTCTTTAAAAAAAGAGGAATTTTGCTTCCTGTTTTACATTATGAATGAAGAAAAACTTCCCAGAAGAAAGAGCCTAAAAGGGGCATTAAAGCTCTGTAGCTGGAGCCTTTTAAAAGCATACAATGCCTTTTTTTTTTCTCTTTTACAGCTTAAAACATTACTTTGGAAACAATCAGACCTTCCCTCTCCTTTTCTTTCATCCCCTACCTCCATTCAAAAACAAACAAACAAACAACTCAGGTTAAAAGCTACTTTAAAAACAACAACAACAGCTATTATTAACTATTATTATTATTATTATTATTATTATTATTATTATTATTATTATTATTATTTCCCAGCTGGGTCACTTCATCAATCAATGTAAGTGGCCTGGCCCAAAGAGGAGCTGTGAAAACAGGAATGAACAGCCAGAATTAAGTGTTTCTTTATCTTGTAGTTCTGCCTCGAGATATAAAGAAATCTTACCTTGATCAACCCTGCCAGGAACAGAAAAGAGATGGTAAATTTTCTGCCTTTTTAACAGTGTTTTAAAGCTCGAGTGCCTGCAGCAAACAAAGCGTGGAACAGCTTTGGGCACGGCAGGAGTGGGAAACACAGCCCCAAAATTCGGGTTATTTCAGGAGAATAAGCTCGATTTGTTAATATTTTTGGAATTTTGGGGAGCCATGGGGGACCCACCTTCGTACATCTCCAGGATGTGAACGGTGTCACCGACCTGCAGGGACAGCTCCACGTCCTGCACGGCGTCGTAGTTGTAGATGGCTACAAAAACACAAACAAAACCAGGGAGAAACACAGGAAAAACACAACCATGAGGGGGATGCAGGGCTTAAATCCCAGGAGAACAGGATTTTGGGGAAAAGCCACCAAGGTACCCTGGGAAAGGAACATGCTGGAAAAGGGGGCAGGGTAAGAAATGTTATTCTTTGCAGCCAGAATATTAATACAGTCATTTTTCCTCCCAGGAGTCCTTGGGAACAAGCTGCATGTTCCCACCTCACCCAACAACCTGCCCACAAAGGTCACCCCGACCTCAGGCATCAGGGATCAAGTCAGTAATTATCATTATTTTTTTTACAGCTCTAATTAATGGAGCGTTGGGAAACACCCTAAATTTGATGTCCTGATAAAACACACCTCTAAATTCTACACTAAAAAACCACTCTTGATTATTTGCTACTCGAGGCTCTCCCCAGCCAAGACCCAATTTTAGCAGGAAAACTTGAGGTTCCCCACAAATTTAATCCCTCCCAAAGACAAAGCTGATCTGGATCTCATTGGCTTTCCAGGGGGAATAAGATTAAGGCCAGAAGGCCAGACTTCTCCACTGCCTTTTCTCTGGAACTTTCTGGAGGATGCAAAGCAGAGGGAGACAGGAGGGGAAAGTTTAAGAAGGCAAATAAATCACAGAAATGTTGGGGAAATCCTTCAGGCTGCCCCAGGTTTGGGTTTGAAGGGCTCTGTGCGGGAAATGAAATAAATAAATAAATAAAGTCACGTCCAGTGCCCCTCATTTCCGTCGGGATGAGGAGTTACTGCCTCCTGGAAAGGCTCCAGCACAAATGACTGGGGGTGACCACACAGGAAATTATCTCACAGACAGGAGCTGCCCTCTCTCCAATATTGGCACTATAAATAGCCCAAGAGAGGGGCAGGAGATGTGAATCCCTGCAGGATCTGAAATCCACCCTGCTCACCAGCAGACACTTCTTTTCCTGTGCTGCAGGGCAGGGGGTGTCCCCACAGGCACCACTTTAGAGCTCCACACACACATGGACTTGGCACTGAAGCCACCACATGGTTTTCCAACAGAATTACAGGAGCATTCCTGGTTGCAGAAAAATCTGGAGAAATGTTCATGGTCAAAGATGAACGTGAATATGAACTGTGGAATGGTTTGGGTTGGAAGGGACCTTAAAACTCATCCAGTGCCACCCCCTGCCATGGGCAGGGACACCTTCCACTAGCACCAGGTTGCTCCAAGCCCTGTCCAGCCTGGCCTTGGACACCTCCAGGGGATGGGGCAGCCACAGCTTCTCTGGGAATTCCATCCCAGCCACTCAGGGAGGAATTTCTTCCCAATATTCCATCTCTCCCTGCCCCCTGGCAGTGGGAAGCCATTCCCTGTGTCCTGTCTCTCCATCCCTTGTCCCCAGTCCCTCTCCAGCTCTCCTGGAGCCCCTTCAGGCCCTGCAAGGGGCTCTCAGGTCTCCCTGGATCCTTCCCTTCTCCAGGATAACCCCCCCAGCTCTCCCACAGGGTCTCCAGAGGGGCTCCAGCCCTTGGAGCAGCTCCGGGATCTCCTCTGGATTCATCCCAAGAGCTCCCCAGCCACGTCTCTCATTCACCAGGGATTCCTCCATACAATCTGTAGATGCCTCGGGTTTCTCTGGCACAAACAGGACATTATAGAAATACCAGGCTGCATTTTTCCCTAAACTGCTGCTCGAGCTGCAGACAAAAAGCAGCCTGAGCAGCACCAGGGTGCGAGGGAAAGGTGGGCGGGCGTCAGAGCAGCCTTTTCTTCTGAGAGCACAGAGAGTGAATTCAAACCAAAGAGCAAAGAGGGACCACTCCCCAGTTCCCTTCCCTTCCCCAAGATCACAACAGCCACGAGCCAGAGAACTCATCTCTGCAGTTCCCTTCCCTCTCCCCGCTGCAGCAGACAGGTCTCACACCCCCACGTGCAGCGCTTTAAAATAAAGGAACTCACTTTAAAATAAAGGACCTCACTTCAAAACAAGGCAATTTTGCAGGATCCTGCCTGGCCAGACCGAGTGAGTGAAGGCAGAGCATAAAACACCAAACCTCCTCCCCCCCAGTGGTTCTGCCCAAGGTTAGGAAAAGACAAAATTGCTGGCATATTTTCCCTGGGAGCTTCGCTGCTTGCGAGTGGCGCTTCCCGCTGCTGGGAGTCAGTGCTGGTCCCATCTGCAGTCATCTGCACAGCTCAGCCTCTCCCTCGGTGCTGTGTATTTAATCTGACCTCTCTCAGACTTGAAAGCAAAAGGAAGCTGCACACACAACAAACAGGGCATGGAAAAAAACAAATCAACCCACTTTGTTTAAATCCCGACAGAGCAGCAAGGAGGGAAAATAACGCCGAGACTTTGCAGGAGTATCTGAAGTTAAGTCTTTTTTTTGCTTCAAGCTCAACTTCAGCTGAGATTCTTGTCCTTTGAAGTTCACTTGAGGGTGTTGATCCCGCTCCTTTTATCATCCTGAATGAAAAGCAGCGCCGAAGTCTAACAAATTTAATCGAAATAAAGAGGCAGGAGTGGAGAACACGACCCATAAGGAGGGTTTGTTTAAGGATGAGCACAACCAGGGGCAACATCTCATGTTATTCAGTTCCCAGCCCTCCAAGCTTGATTAGTTGGAAGTGCAAGAAATGGAATCCACGAGGAGGGAAGGTCAGAGGAGCGAGCACTGGCAAAGGGCAGCAGATAACTTTATGACTGATGACAGCAGCCAGAGTCATGAGGGGAAGATAAGAAGCAATTCTCCTGCTACAGGGCTGAAGGTGAGGCCTCAAAACACATGGAGAAGGAACCCCAGAGGCCTTGCACAGGTGGGGGTGGATGCTGGAATCACCCAGAGCCATCCCACAAACACGGACAGCACGGAGGGCACAGGAAACCTGGGACAGCCTGGGCTTTCCAGGGCTCTGAGGGATAAGTGTGGAGAGCTGGAAGGTTCTGAGGAGGCACAGTTTGGCAGCAGCGTGATGGGAAGAGCAGGTTTAGCTGGGTCACTGCCCCCCAAGTTGTAGGAAGACAGCAGATGAACCCCAGCACACACATTCCTGATCCAGGAGACAACACGAGACACCACAGCACGAAGCCTCAGTGCTGGGCACGGGGCAGAAAACGAGAAGTACAACTATATTACAAATTAAAAACCCCCAAAACACACTTTAAAAACCCACAAAGCTTCACTTTTTGACACAGAGTCCGGGGAGAAGCCTCAATTTGCAGGAGGTCTGTCAGCAGCTCACTGAGCCTGAGCTGGATCTCAGTGGAACCTGGGGGAGATCCAGCAGCTTCAGGGGGAATGGCTCCCAACTGAGTAGAGGTTTGGATGGGATATTGGGAAGAAATTCTTCCCTGTGAGGCTTGGGGAGGGGCTGGGATGGGATTCCCAGAGAAGCTGTGGTTCCCTGGAATTGTCCAAGGCCAGGTTGGAGCAACCTGGGCTAGTGGAAGGTGTCCCTGCCCATGGCAGGGGGTGGCACTGGATTGGCACTTTGAAGTCCATTCCAAACCCACCCATTTTATGATTCCACTATAGTATTAATTCCCAGACCCCTTTTGCCCCCCAAAAAACTCATTTTCAAGACTGTCCTAAAAGCAAAGCTCAGCTAAAACCGCCCGAACCCCAGTGAACGAGGCAGAACCCGTCACACACTATTCTGTGTGCATTTCAAAGCAGAATAAAAGGGAATCCTCCTCTCAATAAGTGCATTTGAAACGTGGATTATTGGCCTGAAAAGCACAGCCACTGCAAGATCCATTATCTCTAAACTTGGCTCAAAATAACCAACCACCCTCCCCCCTCCTCCTTCCCCTCCACCCATCACAAAGACACGATAAAACCACTTCCAAATGCCATGTCCCACTTCCCCCCAGCCTGCCCTCACCCTGCCTGATAGGAGAGGGCTGGGTTTGCTTCCTGGGAACAAAGACTCACATTCAGAGCTGTTGCAACAACCAGGCTCCATCTCAGTCCATCTTTCAGTCATCAACCCCCATCGCAGGGGAACAGAAGCCCCCCCCCTGCTTTTATGCTGTGACAAACCCCACATTAAAAAAAAAAATAATGGCATGGCTGCTTGGACATCCCCCTTTGGAGGAGCCTGGTATGTTCTCCAGTGCCAAGACACCCCCAAAAACACAGTGGCTTTCTCTAAAAAACAAGGAGCTGCCCCGGGAATTAATTCTTAACGGGAACAAAGGCTTGTTTGATGTTCTGGAGCAAAAACGGTCTTGTAACTTCCCAGGAATTCGTGTCTGAAAAATTGAGAATGGAATAATTTAAGGTTTAGATGTCAGGCTGCTTCTTAAAAAAAAAAAAAAGTAAGTCATGGTTCAACCCTGGGAAAAAATGTACATTTTATGATGGTTATGAAAAAAATCCCACTGCTCAAGGGTTGATGCTGAGATGCAGTCTCAATTCTACAAAGTCCCAAGTGGCTGCTTTAGCATTTTGAGCATAAATAATCCAGAATAACAGGATTATGCAGCTGGAAGTGCTGGAATTAACAGCCATCATTAGACTTCAGAGTCAAATTTGTGATGAGCTCGAGGTGGGACCATCCCTGCCCATGGCAGGGGGTGGAATGAGATGATCTCTAAGGTCCTTTCCAGCCCAAACCATTCCATGATTCCATGGTTTTATGGCTTTTAACATCTTGTGTTCCTGTTGCTTCAGGCTGGCCTCACACACAGAAACACATTTTACTTGTTCTCAGCATTTTTAAGCCGGGTTATCTTAAAAATGGGATTAAATGAGAAATGACAGCACCTGCCTGTGCAGGAGGATGTGACGTGGCCTTTCCAGTCTGCATTCTGTAACTGCTGGGTTTTAGATCCATTTCTTGCTTTGGAGAACCACACAAAAAGCAGGAGGAGCCACTGTCCCCCACCCTTCCAACACTTCCAGTTCCAACCTAAGGCTATTGCACTAACCAACCCCAAATCAAATCAAATCAAATCAACCCCAACCTGCCCCATCAAAGCTGATCAAAGTCTATGATTTTTCTG